GCATTCAAAAAAGATAAACACATGCAATTTGCAGCAACATGGATGGCGCTGGAAGGGATCATGCTCAGCGAAATAAGCCAGAAAGAAAAAGAAAAATACCAGATGGTCTCACTCATAGCAGGAATCTAGAAAACTTAAATAAGGAACCAGGAAAATGAATAACTATAAGAAAGTGAAAATCAAAATCAACAAAAAACTATGAACCAGAGACACTCTAGGGGGGACGGGGGACGGGGAGGGGAGGGATTGGGGTCAAAATAAGGGGGTTGTAATTGTATGGGGAATATAAAAATAAAATTTATTTTAAAAAAATCTGGTAAAACTTTGGTGTTTATGTGAATCACATTCTTTTGATGATTAATGTTTTTGACAGAAGAAGGTGAAGTAGAAATAATTTGCATTTTGGTCTTAGTTTTAAATTAATTTTTCAGTGTTTAGTCTTTATGGTAGAGATTCATGGAAATGATCTTGTAGGGAAGGGGGCATGGGAAGAGTGAATAGTCAATATGGTTAGAGCTTAAAGAATTAGTTGGAGACAAGGACTAGATCATAGAGAACCTTTGAGTCACATTGATAAGGTTAATAGTACTAAGAAACCATGCAAGGGCATTAAGCCACGGTAAAATGATTAGATTTTTATTTTTAAAAAAACCCTTTGGGGCCTCCCTGGTGGTGCAGGGGTTAAGACACAACCTATGAAACAATCTGCAGCCACTACAACACGAGTTCCATTTCCAGCAGGCCAGGGAGAAACCCACATGGCAGGACAGACCTCTCCTGTCTTGCCTGCTGCTCCATTTCAGCAGTGTACTTTGTCCATCTGCCTGTTCTGTTCCCTGCTCTGTCTCTGGTGAATCCTCTCACTCCCTGTATCTCTGGCCTGTACCCCAATTCTTGTATAAAAATAAATAAATCTTTAAAAAAAAAAAACCCTTTGATTCTAGTATAGCATGCAAATCAGGGCCTCCCTGGTGGCACCTGGGTTAAAGACGGTGCTATCAAGCTATTGCCAGCCACTGCAGCAGGAGTTCTAGCCCCATCGGGCCAGGGAGCTAACCCACTGGTGCAGCAGACTTCTCCTGACTCGCCCACTGCTCCCCTCAGCGATGTATTTCAGTAGATCTGTGTGTTCTGTTCCCCACTCTCTCTGGTGAATCCTCTCATGTCCGCCCCCCTTCCCCGCACCTCTGGCTTACATCCAGTTCTTGTATGCATAAATAAGTAAGTCTTTAAAAAAAAAAGAAAGAAAGCAATTCAGAATGGTATGAGTAATATGAACTGGCCAGAGATTTGGGTTATTGCAGTTTCTTCGAGGATATGTGCTTGCACGGATTAAATGGGAAGAATGAAGAAATAAGAGAAATATTAACAAGTTTAAATCAAGGGAATATCTTGATAGATTAAGTAATGGGGGTTGAAGGAAAGGGTGGTGTAAAGGATGATTTTTGGCTTTTTATGGTTTGCAGAAGTAGATGATTTGTAGTATTAAAGAATGCTGTAAGAAGGTCTGTAGGGGGAAGTTGTTGGGGATGGTGTTTGGTGTAACACATTGGGGGAGCTTCTGAGACATGCAGATTAAATGCGTAATTTCAATTGACTGTGGAAGATATGGGTCTGGAGCTTAAATGTTAGTGCTAGATATAGAGACATGAGTGACATTTGCATATAGAATATCTCAGAGAGAAAGAGAGTATAGAAAAAAAGAGGGCCCATATTTGGAATTCTTGAGGAACTCCAACAAGAAGTTTGGACAGAATAGCCAAAGAGATGGGAATAAAATCAGAAAAGCTAAGGGGAATTATTGTCAAAGAAAGAATTATCTATAACATTGAGTGTAGCTGAAAAATGAAAAGTGAAAGAACACAGAAATTTGATTTTAGCAATATCAAAGTTTTCCTTGATTTCAGTAAGAGCTGTTTCTGTAGAATGATGGAACAGCCAGATTGGGGTGAGTTGAGAAGTAAATGGAAGTCAAGAAAATGAAAATGGTTGTATAAATTCTTCCAAAAGAGTGCAGGTAGGCTGCAACTGGAGGGAGTTGTGGTATAAAAAGATTTTACGGGGCCTCCCCGGTGGCGCAGCGGTTGAGCGCTGGGTTGCGAATCTGCCCGCGCCCTCTGCGGCGCCGGTTCGATCCCCGGCTGCTCCCTGGCCACCGGAGGAGGGTCCCACATGGCGCGCAGACCTCTCCTGCCGCCCGCTGCTCCCCTCAGCAGTGTACCTCGGTCCTTCTGCCTGCTCTGCTCCCCGCTCTGGCTCTGGTGAATTCTCTCACCCTCCCGCGCTTCTGACTGTACCCAGTGCATGTATAAACAAAACAAACAAACAAATAAATAAATAATAAAACATGCCTCTATTTAAAAAAAAAAAAAAAAAAAAAAAAAGATTTTACATTTAAGATGGGAAGAATACTTAGTATTTGTAAAACATGTAAATAAAAGAGAAATAATAGAGTAAAAGTCCAAGGCCCCCCTGGTGGCGCAAGGGGTTAAGCACCGCACTATGAAGCAATTCACAGCCTCTGCAGCGAGTTTGATCCCAGTCGGCCAGGGAGCAACCCACATGGCGCAGCAGACCTTTGCTGACTCGCCTGCTGCACCCCTCAGCAGTGTACTTAGGTCAATCTGCCTGTTCTGTTCCCCACTCTGTCTCTGGTGAATTCTCTCCGCCCACCCCCTACCTCTGACCTGTACCCCAGCTCTTATATGCATAAATAAATAAATCTTAAAAAAAAAAAAAAGAAAAAGTCCCCAAAAAGGTAGATGTATATTAGAGAGGATAAGTACAGGTCAAAGAACTGGCTTTAAACAGCAGGTTTAGGGGCCTCCCTGGGGGTGCAAGGGGTTAAGGCACAGCACTATGAAGCTAGCTATCCACAGCCACTGTGGCATGAGTTTGATCCCCGCCCACAGGGAGCTACCCACATGCCACAGCAGACCTCCCCTGCCTTGCCCACTGCTCCCCTCAGCAGTGTATTTCAATAAATCTGCCTGTTCTGTTCCCCACTCTTTCTGGTGAATCCTCTCACCTCCCCAAACCTCTGGCCTGTACCCCCATTCTTGTATGCATAAATAAATAAATGTTTAATAAAAATAAACAGCAGGTTTCTACATCATCTATTGTGAGAGGCAGCAAAGAGGAGAGAATCAATGTTGATAAGTAATATTTGCTAGCAGAATATTGAGGGAGTTTTGCTTAGAGAAGCTGTTTTTCCCTTCCGAAAAGGAAATGAAGTCATTTACTGAACTTAAGGAGGAATGTAGCTGATGCTTGAGAACCTTAGAGAAGGTTTGAAATAGTTGTGGGCGTTGGGGAAAATAGTTGAACAAACAAATGTTGTAAGAGGAAGGGTAGTGATGAAAGCCTATTTGAAATTGGTGATTATGAATTTATAATGAAACTCATCAAATGAATTTCTTCAGCAACTCTGCCTGCTTGAATACAAAACAGTTCTTCCAGGGGCTTAGGGCAGAGTGGGAAAAGAAAACAGTAGTAGTATGCTGGTAAATGTTTAAGAAACCAGGTCTTGGGAAAAAAAGAGATTTGGTTTCTTTGTAATCTTTGCTGATAGCTGTGGTATAAATAAATATTCTCTCCATGACCAATTTCAAGGTGTCAGCCTGTGATTACTGAATGCAGAATTAGAAAGAAATAAGCAATAGCAAACCCTTTCTGCTATCTCAAGAGCATACAGAGTAGTAAAAAATTTAAATTAAAATAACTTGAAAGTAGTGAGTTTGGAGTGTAGGGTGGAAACAAGGGTACAAGGGGTCTAAATGGATGGTGATAGGTATTTTTTAAATAAATAAAATCTTATTATTTTCATAAACTATAAATTAAAAAGAACAGAGGCAGGAGAATCTGACATAGTCATTGTCATCTGGAAAGGTTTCTTGGATTTGATGATACTTGAGCTGAGACTTAGAGGATGAAAAGGAGCTAACTATGTAGGAGATGGGTGATGGGAAGGATTAGCATATGTAAATACATGGACATTTATAGCCTTATCTTTAGCAATAAAATGTTCCCATTTGTCAGGTATTTCAGATGGAGGGAAATATGTAACTTCTTTAGGATATTTTACATAGATATGAAAGTGCAAAAGAGTTTGAAAATTCCCAAACTGGATTTTTTTTGATTGCAAAGGAATTAAGAGTTCTTGATGCTGGCTTAAGAAAATAATACAGGGCCTCCCTGGTGGCGCAGGGATTAAAGATAGAGCCGCGATGAAGCTATCGCCAGCCACTGCAATATGAATTCAATCCCCACATGGTGCAGCAGACTATTCCTGCCTTGCTTACTGCTCCACGCAACAGTGTATTTCAGTACATCTGCCTGTTCTACTCCCAACTCTGAATCCTCTCACCCCCCACACCTCTGACCTACACCCCAGTTCTTGTATGGAAAAATAAATGAATCCTTTAAAAAAAAAAAGAAAAGAAGTATGTTTGCATAATGACCAACAGTAGTGTCCAATAAAATGTAACAATCACTAGAATTCAGATAAATTTTGGTGTACAATATTGTAGGAAGTATTTGCAGTACTATGCGGGGAAAAAATGGTGTACAAGAGAAACCAGATTTTAGAGATTCCATTATTAACTGGACAAAGTTTTCATTTCATTAGGGGAAGAAAATTAACATCACCTAGTCTAAACACTTATGCTAATTCAGAGAAAATTTGTTTTTGTAGTCAGATATCAAATGAAACCTGAGGGTTTTATATTGTATGGGAGGTGGTGATGTCACCTTTCTCTTTGTGACTGCTGAGTTGTAACAATTATCAGGAAGAAAGTTGGTAACATCTCTTTTTTTTTTTTTGTGGGACCCTCGCCGGTGGCCGGGGATCGAACTGGCGCTGCAGAGGCTGCGGCAGCCTCACAACCCAGCGCTCAACCGCTGTGCCACCAGGGGAGGCCTGGTAACATCTCTTTTTAATGTTGTTTTTAGAGTTCTCTTTCAATAAGTTTGGCTTTTCTTTGTGTTCTCTTTGTCCCTAGCTACAAGACATTTTTACCAAAATGCGTTCGAGCAAAGATCCAAGACTATCATATTTTGACAAGAAAGCGAATAAGATATCGATTTCGCAGATTTATTCAGCAGTTTGGCCAATGCAACGTCACTGCCAGAAACTTGAAACTTAAGTATCTTATGAATCTGGAAACTCTTCAGTCTGCCTTCTACACAGAGCAATTTGAAGTAAAAGAACGTGGAAGAGGTCCTTCAGGTGAGGAGATTTTTGCAACCATTATAATAACTGGAAACGGTGGAATTCAGTGGTCAAGAGGGAAACATAAAGAAAGTGAGACACTGACAGAACAGGTAATCCTTAATGATATGTTCTCATTCTTTGTTATTTTAAGTAGAATGGTAATAGAAGCAAAGTAATTTTAGTCACTTGATACATGATCTTATACTTCTTTTCTCCCATTGCTAGAAGTGGAAGTTTTAACAGTGTGAAGCTATCAAGATCATATCTATAGTTCTTTTTTCACTGTTCTTAGAGAGTTTTTCATTTAATTTTTATGACAAAATAATAGTAATGGTTTTCATATAGTTTCAGAAAAAGCTTGAATTCTAAAACTAATTTTTAAAGTAGTGTTGCCTCCTTTTTTTTACTTTTACTATTATGTTATAGATAATAGGAGGCACAGTCATAAAAATTCAGAGATTATTTTTATTAATTTTATAGTAATGTATGCCTATTAAATAATTAATTTGGTTTATTTTATGCTTGCATTAGAAGTTTTAAATTTGTTCATATCTATGCTGTCATTATGCTATTATTAGGGTTTGTTTTTTTTTTAATTTTCATTCTTTGGCAGTTAAAACTTAAAATTTTCTGTCAATGATTCCTGTTAATGTTGACTGGATTGAGGGATATTATAACACACTTTAGATTCCTGGCACCCTTTAATATTTTTTAAAGATTTATTTATTTATGCGTATAAGATCTGGGGTGTATGCCAGAGATTCAGGGATGGGGGATGGTGGTGTGGTGGTGAGAGGGTTCACCAGAGACAGAGTGGGAGCAGAACAGGTGAATCTACTGAAATAACACTGCTGAGAGGAGCAGCAAGTGAGACATGAGAGGTCTGCTGTGCCATATGCGTTAGCTCCCTGGCTGGGGATCTAACTTGTGCTACCATGGCTGCGGATAGTTTCATAGTGCTGAGACTTAATCCCTTGTGCCACCAGGGAGGCCCAATACTTTAATTTTTAAGCCAAAGCATGATATAGCATAGTATTAGAGTTAGATTTTGGGCGAGGGAATTCCATTTAATGCTTATCTGTTACTATGAATATATTTTTTTATTTTAATCAATTTAGAATGAATGTTATGTCCTTCATTAAATCTTGTTTTAAAGGACTCCATAAATTTTACTTATTTTTAATTTTGAATACTCTTAATTATAGGAATTACAGTTATATTGTGATTTTCCTGATATTATTGCTGTTAGTATTAAGCAAGCAAACCAAGAAGGTGCAAGTGAAAGCAGAATTGTAACTATCCATAAGCAAGATAGTAAAGGTCTGGTAAGTGCATTGTAATTACATAATGGTAATGTTTTACTGTTGTCAGAAATAAAAATTTTCAAGTGTTAGTACAAAAATAATTTTCTTGCAGGAATTTTTATTTTAGTTTTAATTATATTTCTGAACATAAGTACAGTGTAGTAAGCTTTTGGATTACATCTAGTTTTTTGTATTACTACCAACACTTTTTCCCACAGTTTCTTGTAGAATAGTGTGTTTCTCAATCATTTCTGTGATAAGCAAAACATCAGTAACTTTTTCTTTTCATTTTGGTTTGTGCTCATTCCCTGTTGTAATGCTCATTCCTGACAATCTTTTTACCACTGGAGATGTACATAACACCAGTCATATTGCATGATTAAAGTAGAAAAAGAAATTAAAACTAAGCTGTCTGAAATTTGTATAGCAGAAGGTAAACCAGTCCCAGGTCAGACCTATTCACGTTGTAAGACTTGATTGTCTCTAATTAATCCTTCTTTAAATAGCTTCTTTAAATATCCTTTTTTAAATAACTTCAGAAATCCCCCTTATTTTAATCAAAAGGGAAGAAAAGAATTCCTTTATTCGCTACTCTTGAATATCTCGCTTATTTGGCTTTTTCTTTTTAATTCATGTATTTCTTTACCTGGCTTATATGTCATATTAATATTACTTATTAATTTAACCTAAATATATGTCTAACATACCTGTCTGGTCATTTCAGGTTTATATTATCAAAATTATAACTAACTTGCACCTCACTTTAGTCAGCATGGCTTCTAATTCTCAGATAAAAATATAATAGTGTATACCTATTTCCTGTTAGACTGTGAGCTACTTGAAAGTATCATATTTTCATCTGTCATTTGTTCCTGCATAGTACAGGACCTAGTTTAGAAAGAAGTTTGTAAATATTTAATGGATCAATGAGAGGAGGATTTTTAACCCCAATGTGGAATTTATAGAGTAAATTTTTATTCTATAAATATGGTATTTATAGAGTAAGTATTTCTGGAAGAGTTTATTAAGAGATGCTAATGTGAACATCCTGCAGTAATATAAAGAACTTTATTATAGGACATTGTTGGAACTTGTTGGCTTCATTTTAAGTCTGCAATATAGAGACATCAAGTAACATTCAAAGGTTGGTGTTAGTTAATTGATAGGGCCTCTGATAAACTCAGACATATGATTTGATACTCTATAAGCTCTTAAACTTGACATTGCCTTGTTTGTTGAGTATTTCCTAAAGCTCTTTAAACTATCACTTTGGCTTTTTTTGTATTCTTTAAACTTTTATTTATTTAAAAACTTTTGGGGGGGAATAACATAATTAACATAAGACTATTTGTTTCAATTGTACAAAACAATGATTTTATATTTGTGACATCTGCTACATTGACATTTTACTAGAATTTCTCTAAAGATTAGTTTGGGGTAAAGTGGTATTTCTTTACCATACTACATTTTCTATTTAAGGGATACATTATATTTCTCCTGGTAGCCAAATATTACTTGTTTTTCAGAAACTTTTCATAATTTTATTCTTATACATACCATATTTCTAGCTGAATTTTATTCATGATGTTATGCTTTTTCTGTTACTTATTAGGATTAAGAATTTTTTGTCAATGTATCTTCTCTGTTGTTGAATAGAAGAAAGTAATTAATTTTTGCTTATGATTGCATTTCTGTTATGTGTTACTGCATTTATTTTTTAATCACCATTTTATTTTTCATTCTGCCATTTTTCCCCCTGTATTTTAAAAAATGGTAAAACACACTTTATAAAATTTAGCAACTTGATCTAGCAGTTTCATATCTGGATTTCCAAAGGAAACAAAAACACTATCTCAAAGAGATAGCTACACACCATGTTCATTGTAACAGCCTTGGATGTTACCTAAATTTTAATTTTTTGTGAAACTAATGGGCAAAAATATCACTGTGTCCTAATGTTAATATTACATTTTCTCAATTGGAATCTGAAATTGAGCAGACTCTCTTGTTTTTATGGCCAGCTGTTTGTATTTCTTCCTTTGTGATTTGCTTTCTCATATCCTTTGACTAGTTTTCTATTTTCAATTGATTGGTAATTTTCAGTACCTCATTTATTACATATTAATGTATTAATCCTTTGTTGTAGTGGCTTGAAATTCTCCAAGTCTTTTGATATTGTTTGTGGGTTTGTTTTTAGTACCTATTTTTTTAAAAAAAGATTTATTTATTCATTCATACAAGAACTGGGGTACAGGCTAGATGTGCAGGAGGGTGAGAGGATTCACCAGAGACAGAGCGGGGAACAGAACAGGCAGACTGACTGAAATACACTGCTGAGGGGAGCAGTGGGCGAAACAGGAGAGGCCTGTTGTGCCATATGGGCATCTCCCCAACCAACCGGCCGGGATCAAACCCGTGCTGCTAAGGCTGTGGACAGCCTCACAGGGCTGCTGCGCTCAACCGCCTGCGCCACCAGGGAGGCCCTAGTACCTATTTTTATGGCCTAATTGTTTTAGCTAAGTACTTCTTATCATTCATATATGTCATATACTTTTTCATTAAATTGTTTGGTTTAAGTTCATATTCTGTGTTTTCTTTATGACTACATTTTGTTCATTGCTCAGCAAAGTAGTATACTATGATCACATTTCCATTCTTGTAAACCTAGTTGTTTTTCTCATTTAGTGTTAACCATTTCTTCATCTCAGATAGTGTTAACCATTTCTTCATCTTTTTCACTTTGTATAAATATTTTCTTTTTATGTCTTTTCATCCTTACATGAATGCTGCAAAATAGTACACTTCTCAGTACAGTATTTCACATAGTTAAGTATGTTCAATATTACATCACTTCTAGTTTTTTCCGGGCACCTGGGTATATCTAACCTGGACTGGATACTCTCTAGACCATGTGCACATGTAATTCTTGGGCATATCCCTTCTTTGTCCTGAAAATACCTTCTTTTCTCTTTTATATCAGATCCCTGATTTTCTGAATCTTATACTTGCTTTGCTTTTCTATGTACATCTTTCAGTACTGGTTTGGATTTTCATTGTAACTGTGACAAATCAGAAAATTGATTTAGGGATTTTAATATTTTCATGATGTTGATTTTTTTCTGTCTAAGAACATGGTAAACCTATATAACCAGGTAAAAAGTTACATCTTAGAACAATTTTGTGAATAATACGGACTTTAAAAGTAAATTTTTAAAAATCAAATGAGATATTTACAAAAAAAAAATTTGACACAGTGATATATATAGATTTAGGAGTTTAGAAGAAATGTTACCTTAATTTTACTGAAGCTTTTTAAAAAAACAGTTTAAGTTATAATCACATTACACAATAATTAGATTAGGTTATAGTTTATCATTTATATTCCAATCTATAATACTTCTAACTGTTGTATACTTACAAGAGTGTTTTGAAGTTTTTCTATAAATATCTTTTTTAATATATGTGAAATTTATTGATTTCTGTATATTGCTATTTCAATGAATTATTTTACTGCAGAGCTAATTATATAGTTGTTTTCTTTTGGGGTCCCCAATATATAATCATATAATCTCAAAATAGAGATAGTTTACCTCCTTGTTTTCAACTTCTGTATTTATATTTGTTTCTTATGGCCTATTCATGTTGGCTAAATACATCTAATTCAGTATTAAATAGTGGACTTTCTTAACCTTATTCCTGATTTTAGGAGCAGTTGCTTTGGTGTTTTCCCTTTAAGTAAGATGCTTCATTGTAGGTTGATTATATGTTCACATATGTGTATATGATGATACAAACATAGGATAGCTACATATGATTTTAGCTTTAGCATATACTACATAGATTATAGTTTTTAGCCCAAGTACTTTATTAGTCTCTACTTAGTATGTGAAAATTAATGCTAACTATTTTTTAAAGATTTATTTATTTATGCATACAAGAACTGGGGTACAGGCCAGAGGTGTCAGGGGTGAGACGATTCACCGGAGACAGAGTGGGGAACAGAACAGGCAGATCTACTGAAATATATGGTTGAGGGGAGCAGCAGGTGAGTCAGAAGAGGTCTGCTGCACCTTGTGGGTCACATCCCTGGCCAGGGATCAAACTAGTGCTGCAGTGACTGTAGAGAGCTTCACAGTGCTGTCTTAACCTGTTGTGCCACAAGGGAGGCCCCAATGCTAGTTATTTGTAATTAATACCAACTTTTATATCAGATGAGAGTGATTTTTAATTGAGATGAATGGCACATTTATCTATAGGGTTATTGGAAAACATAGCAAAATGTTGGATGTGTAGTAACTATAACTGGAACGACATGATGATAATTCTGTATATAAGAGGTTCTTAAATACCAGACATAAGAATTTGTAATTCACATTGTGCATTGGATGCATAAGAGGCATTTGAGCAATTTAGAAAAAAATTAGGAGAATTAATCTAACAATATAAATTAGGAGAATTTTCAATATGAAACATGCAGTTGACTTTTTAAATTACACTGAATTTTTTTTTCTTTTTACTTAGGAAATAGAACTTAGCTCATTAAGAGAAGCTTTGTCTTTTGTGTCATTAATTGATGGATATTATAGATTAACTGCAGATGCACATCATTACCTCTGCAAAGAAGTAGCACCTCCAATGGTTCTTGAAAATATACAAAGCAACTGTCATGGCCCAATTTCGTAAGTAATGTAGGCTTTAAAAGTAAATTTTTTAAAACCAAATAATATATTCACAAAGAAGATTTTATTCAACAGTGATATATTTAGATTTAAAAGTTTAGGAAAAAATATCAATTTGAAAAGTTCTTTTTTTTAACTAAAATATTTATAATCAGATTACATGATAATTTTATTTTGAGAAAAATTTATATGTACACTAATCTATAAACCTATCTTGTATAGGTTTAACATTAGTTGCCTAAGGTTGCTTAATCATTTTTGGGTGTTAATCTAAAAAAATAATCCTTAAATTTGTGTTTCATTAAGTATGAAATACTGCAGAGGAGCCACTATGCAAAATTTGTTGATCATTAGTATTTTTGGATGTTGAACTTCTCCTAATGAAAATGTCAAATCCAAAATGTACTGAATGTCCATTTTTTCTAGAATAGTACTATACAGTATTTCTGCTGCGATGAAAATGAAAATGTTCTGTATCTGCAGTGTTTATATAGTAGCCAGTAGACCCATATGGCTTTTAGTATTTGAAATGTGGTTAGTGCAATTGAGAACTGAACTACTTATTTAGTTTCAATAATTTTATATTTAAATAACTACATCTGTATACTAGCTACCATATTGACACAATTTGTATACCTTGCTGTAATACTGGCTAAAGCCAACTGTAATGTATAACATCTTTTGAATCCAAGTCCTGGTTATCTCTTAGCCAGGATTTGCTTTATGATTGGCACTGAGTTTGAAGAATCTGAACAGAAGAAATAATCTGGGATAGATTGTGAGCAATTGTCTCTTGACCTTACTCTATTTACTCTTAATTCAGTATTTGAGAAAATATATACTGGTTGTTATGTAAAAGTTGCCCTATTTAAACATGCTATGCTTAACATATTCAATATTTTAATAACTCCTACCATTAGTTCATTTGTTATCCATTCATTCATTCACACGTTCTTTCATCTTTTTATAGAACATATACTGCTGAGTAGCTAATATGTGCCAGGCATTAGTTTATACATGAGAAACATAATGTTAAGTAAAAAGAGAGGTGATTTTTTGCTTTCATGTAGATTATGATTTTACTTTGTCTCAAGATGTGCTACTTCAATAAAACACACAGCAAAATTTTAAAAATCAGTAGTCGTTACTTGCTCTGGGTCTGCTATTGACTTTGGCATTAACTTAAATACTGCAATAATGCACATCAATTTTTATATTAGTAATTGCTGTAGTAGAAGAGACGTAAGTATTTTGTGATAGGTTGCATAGTTAAATGATGTTTTACGAGAGTATGTTTTTTAAAATACTAAATTTATATCAAAAGATAGAAAATTAAAATGAATGAATTGTTCTTTGTGAGTTTATCTTATAGTACTAGTACCCTTTGTTTTTAAAGCAATATGGTTGCCCCTTGAATTGGTTTGAATTTGCTGCAAAATAGCTTGGTAGTTTGAATTTTTTCCTTGCAAGATTATTGATAAACATATGAAATGGAAGGGACTTCTAAAAATTCTGAGAGTTTTAGATTTGACTTCTGACCTTTCACATGAATTTTTTTGTCATATGATGGTGCTTGCTTTGTCATCATTCAAATTACTTCTTCTTTACTTTTAGAATAGATTTTGCCGTCAGTAAACTGAAGAAAGCAGGTAATCCAGCTGGATTGTATGTACTTCGATGTAGTCCTAAGGACTTTAATAAATATTTTCTGACTTTTGCAGTTGAGGTTAGTATTATTACATTAATTAATGATAGCATTTTTATATAACTTCCCCTTTATTTTTCTCTCCCATATTTCCTTTTTAATACTCAGAATTATAGCTCTGGATATGATAACTAGCACAATATGTTTAAGTTACCTTAGAGAGTCAGCATAATTAAACAATATTTTAGTTCCTAGGATTTATATACAAATATAAAAATTATCTCTGTCTTTCGGTTTTTTTATTTGGAATTTATTTACTTTTTTGATGTTTGGGTATTACCAGTGTTTCATATTTCATCAAATCTGTTGAAGTCTCTTTTTTCACAATATAGAAATCTTTACCAAAACATGTAGAACAGAAAAATATCAGAAGCAAACATTTGTATTACTAGTGATTGTTAAGGATTAGAGTAAAATAGGACAAAAACAAACATTATAGCACTTTTCACTATTGTTTTTCCAATATTAAGAATAATGATCATTGATGTATATTTTAAGTATAAACCACAATGAAACAATAATCTGTTAATACAAATCATTTTGGGTCTTATCTATGATTTACTACCCAAAATTATCTAAAAAGATACTGTGACTTATACTATGGCATAAATATTGAAAAGCTATGAAGCTTTATAGCTTTTCAGTATTTAACCTTTTAAAAGTATCAGAAGGGGCCTCCCCGGTGGTGCAGCGGTTGAGCGCTGGGTTGCGAAGTTGCCCGCAGCCTCTGCAGCACTGGTTCGATTCCCGGCTGCTCCCCTGCCACTGGAGGAGGGTCCCACATGGCGCACAGACCTCTCCTGCTGCCCGCTGCTCCCCTCAGCAATGTACATCGGTCCTTCTGCCTGCTCTGCTCCCCGCTCTGGCTCTGGTGAATTCTCTCACCCTCCAGCGCTTCTGACTGTACCCAGTGCTTGTATAAATAAATAAATAAATCTTTAAAAATGAATCAATTAATTAAAATATCAAAAGAATTTTCTTATTCAATTACTTTAATTTTTATAAATTGAGCTATCTTATATTTAGCCTATATAGAGTTATTTATAAATACAGCAGGTAAACCACTCCATAATTTTCTCATTGTGAAGTACTTATATTATATCCTAATTCACACTGTGTCTGTACTTATAATGTGTATCAATCCATTATGTTCAGCTAGCCAATCAAAATGTATATATTTATGTTTATTACATTTACTTGACTTAATATGAGACTGTGTAGTAGGGAATATATGAGATGGCCCTGATTTCAATAAACTTACTTTTGGGAAAGCAAAAATAAGAAAGTATTTTAAAAATTTCTAAATTGAACATTATAATTATCCAATATAGTCAAATATAGGCAATAACAGAAAGAGTTACAATTATCAGGCGTAGAAAGGGACTTGAGATTGACCTTGAGGTATTTAGTTAATTTTATACAAATGGTTTTAAGTAGAATAAAAATGCTTCTTAAAAGCAGCTTAAAAGTTAGGTGGAAGAACAAGTTTATAGCATAGCATATACGACAAATATTGAAAAGTGAAAAATATTAAAATTGCCATATTAGAGATACTAACACAAAATAGTGATACAATGGAATGTAACGTGTAATCACATTTCCTGTGGGTTGGGGTGAGAGTTGTTAGGGAAAACATCACAGAAAAAGTGGTACTTGAACTTGATGGAAGTGCTACTTAAGCCTTGAGTTTTAAGGAATGAATAAAAACTTACTGCTCAGAAGGAAAAGATAAAATATATCCATAGGTAGAGTGATAATATGTATAGTTATCAAGCATGAAGCATGATATTTTCTTGAAATTATTTAAATCATTTGATATAGCTAGAGCATAGGTTGTATCTTGGGAGTGAAAGACTTTGAAGTTGGAAATAGCGGCAGAGGTCAGCTAGCTCATGGAAAGCTTTATGTACTAAATTAGCTTAAGACTTTATTTTGTAAATGATAAAAGTCTATTACGGATTGTATTATCATTAATTATCCTTGATTTTTACTAAAGTCATGTTTTAAATGTGTAAATGTTCTGCTGGTTGCTTTTTTGAAATCCTTTTGGCAAAATAATCACTGTGTGTCCATTTGAATTTTCCTTCCTCACCGTATTTATAATTAAACTTAAATAGCAAGAAAATGTCATTGAATATAAGCACTGTTTGATTACCAAAAACGAGAATGGAGAATACAACCTCACTGGAACTAAGAAGAACTTCAATAATCTTAAAGAGCTTTTGAATTGTTACCAGATGGAAACTGTCCGATCTGACAGTATTATTTTCCAGTTTACTAAATGCTGTCCCCCAAAGCCAAAAGGTAAAAGAATTTTCTAGTTTTTTGAAAAAATACTTCTGGTCATGTATTATGCATGTGGTGGGAGAGATCATTTTATATTAATTTCAAAAGAAATATGAAAGCAGCAGTTCCTAAACAAATTAATTTTGTTCTGTTCTATTGTACAAGCATCCTCAGATTGGGTTTTTTTGGTTTGATTTGGGTAATCTAAAGTGAGTTGAAGTTCCATAATTCTAAAATGGTATTTAAAAAACAGTAATTGATTGGTAGAGATCAGTGAAACTGAAGACTTCAGTACCACATTTTCATGTTTTCTTCCAAGTAAAAATTTCCATATCCTTTTAAAATTTAAACTTTTGTATTTTTTGAAGTATACTGATAAAAATAAAGATCAATCCCTTGAAATAACAGACTTTCAAAAATTATTGATTCCTAACAAATTTTACTAAGTGATTATGATTTTGAGTATGAGATAACAGGCTAAAGTATATGAAAGTTTAATGAATAAACTAAAACAATTTTCTATGGAAAAGAAATGAATAGTAAAAAGAGGTTAAGTATTTCTTATATATAGAACATATTTTATTTTACTCCTTTGGAGCAATTTATATCCTCAGTGCATTTTCATTATATATATTTCCTTCCTTTTTTTTTTTTTAACAGATAAATCAAACCTATTAGTCTTCAGAACCAATGGTGTTTCTGAAGTACCAACTTCACCAACATTGCAAAGACATAATAATGTGAACCAAATGGTTTTTCACAAAATCAGAAATGAAGATTTGATATTTGTAAGTCACTAGTTAATGATTATTATCTTTTTTCCCCTTTTAAAACAAAATCTGCCTTCTTAATGTTATATTCATTATATGTATCTCTATATATCTATATCTGTTCCATATTATATTCATGTGGCATTTGGAACCATTTTATTATAAAATAACCTATATTATAAAACTTTCATAGCAATTGAAATATTTCATTTCTTGTGAAAATGTGATGCCAAATGAGTTAGAAATTTAAAAATTTAATTATTTAAGAATGTAATTTTTCTAGGAATTTAAAAATATTAATTCAAAAATTTTAAATTAAAAATCTTCCACAAAAAAAATTTGTATCTTAATTTGCAAGTTCTTTAGAAATTATTGGAAATACAGGGGTAAAAAATAAAGATTTAGCTGAAAAAAAGTAGTGCTTAAGATGTTTTAGCTTCAGAATGATTTGGGGCTGGATATTCTTAGTCTCATTAATCAAGGGTATTAAAATTTAGTGGAGTCAAAACAACATGGCAACATAGGAAGTTTCTGGTCTAACCTCCCATAGGCACACCAGTTATATAGCTCTATAGCAAACAATTTTCTTTAAAAAAAAAATCTGTGAAACCTTGGAAAGCAACATGCAGAAAGGCCATCTTGTCTATACAAGACCAGGAGTTAAAAGTGAAACCATCTCTAATTAAAGCATGACCCACAAGTAAAAGTAGTTATTGTGGGCCTCCCTGGTTGCGCAAGGGATTAAGCACTGCACTATGAAGCAATCCGCAGCCTCTGCAGCATGAGTTTGATCCCCGGCTGGCCAGGGAGAAACCTACGTGGTGAGGCAGACCTCTCCTGTCTCACCCACTGCTCCCCTCAGCAGTGTATTTCAGTCAGTCTGCCTGTTCTGTTCCCCACTCTGTCTCTGGTGGATCCTGTCATCCCCCATACCCCCTGCACCTCTGGCCTGTACCCCAGCTCTTGTATGCATAAATAAATAAATCTTAAAAAAAAAAAAATAGTTATGGTCCTCATTCCTCAGATGAAGAAACCAAGACAGCCACAGCACAGTTTAAATAACTTTTACAAGGTCACACAACAAGGAAATACATTCTGACTCCACAGATTATACTGTATTATCTTTCTTTAAAGGCATTTAGAAAAAGGCAAACAAAAAAAGTCACATGTAAATAAATTTTGGTAAACAGTGGCCTGTAAAAAAGTGTTGATTATAGCTAATTAAGGGGGTATAAGGACAGGGGGGAACAAAAATATTCTCCTGGGCCTCCCTGGTGGCACAGGCAGTTGAGCGCCGCACCGTGAAGCTGTCCGCAGCCTCTGCAGTGCTGGTTCAATCCCGGCTGGCCGGTGAGAATCCCACATGGCGCAGCAGACCTCTCCTGTCTAGCCCTCTGCTCCCCTCAGCAGTGTATTTCATCAGTCTGCCTGTTCTATTCCCACTCTGTCTCTGGTGAATGCTCTCACCCTCCCGCGCATCTGGCCTGTACCCTGGTTCTTGTATAAATAAATCAATCTTTAAAAAAAAAATTCTTTGATTAATCATTTGGTCTTTTACTACTGTGTAAGGAAGGAAATATAATTAATTTGGAGACTCAGATCTGGATTTAGTTTGTAATGGAAGTACTCGTACATGGATTTTTCTTTAACTCTTTGGCATTGAGCATATTTCCTAATACATATATTTTTCTCTATCTTTACTCAATTTTTCCTCTTTTTCTTTTAAAGAATGAAAGCCTTGGCCAAGGCACTTTTACAAAAATTTTCAAAGGTCTAAGAAGAGAGGTAGGAGACTATGGTCAGCTGCATGAAACCGAAGTTCTTTTAAAAGTTCTGGATAAAGCTCATAGAAACTATTCAGAGGTATGCATGTATGTATGTATGTAAGTATGTTCTTTGTGCAATTTATTGTTTTAAGATGTGCTCTCATGCATACAACATAGTCACTCATGGAGATTTTTTAAATTGTGATTTTTTTAAAAGTATGTATTTAAAGGACTTTTCTGAGGATGCATTCTGTTGGGGCTATAGAAAATTATATAAATTTTAAGTTTTTATTAAAAAATTAACATATTTCCAAACTAATTTCTTTTAACTTTGTGGTATGGAGATTATTACATCTCTGCATATACTGAGGCAATAGTTTTCAAACTCGGCTTTCCAGAACTTTGTGGGTTCCACAGATTTAGGCCACAATTTCATTTACTGAAAAAAAAAATTTTTGAAAAGTACTGTACTGAGGAACACTCTAGGTAAAATACAGGTGGTTCTTGGCATCATCTAGAGATACTAGTGGACAGAAATGCAGCTGTTGTTGCCAGATTTCCTTAACATAGCAAGGCATCACTGAATGATATAACATTTATGTTATTTTTAAAATGTCTTAAGGGATGCTGGTGGCAGATGATGGCAAACACATAAGCTGAGAAGTTATTCTAATCCAGAATACCACAGCATTGGTGATTGTGATCCTCTGAACAACCATAACCAGAAGTTCCTGTCAAAGTTCAGATGAGTTTGAGTGATGTTTATACATGCCAGTCTCCTAGCATAGTTGTCATACCTTATCTGCACAGAGATCATTCTTAAATCTTTAGAAAGTGTTATTTGAAATTCCCATCCATTTACTTCAGTCCCCATGTCACTCTGGTGTCTAATTCTGTTTGTGCCGTTAATTCTCTTTTCTAGGAACTGTAGATCTAAACTCATCTTTCATTATTCATGGTATCGTATGCCATTATTGTCCTCTCTCTTTGATCTCTCCATATTCTAAACTTACCCAGGGGTTTCCTCGTAACGATTTCTGGCATCAAGTTTGGTGGCAGTTGCAAGTCTATATAAGGAGACCATACACATTGTTACCTTATCTTTAGCCCTGTTAAGAATAAAAGATAGTATTTTTTTCTATTGACAGAGAGTATGTTTCTGAACTATAAATACTTAGAGTCACAAACAAAAATTCTTTTGTATTTTTCTTTTTTAGTCTTTCTTTGAAGCAGCAAGTATGATGAGCCAGCTTTCTCACAAGCATCTGGTTTTAAATTATGGAGTATGTGTTTGTGGAGACGAGAGTAAGTAATACTACTGACTTCTTATGTTAATGTTATTCAGCTATAAAAAAATGTAGAAATCCTACCATTTGTGACAAGATGGATGGACCTTGACAGGCATTATGCTAAGTGAAATAAGTGAGACAAATAAATACTGTATGGTCTTATAAGTGGAATGTTAAACATGCAAAACCAACCTTTTTGTAAGAGTATCAGACTTATGGTTGTCAGCAATGGAGGGGAATGGAAAAGGGGAAATTGGAGGAAGATAGTCAAAAGATACAAGCTTCTAATTACAAGATTATTACCAGGGATATAATATACAATATGACTGTACCTAACACTATATGATAGATAGAAAAGTAGAGTAAATCCTAGTAGTTTTTATCACAAAGAAGTTTTTTTCTTTTCTTCTTTTTGTTTTATTGTATCTGTATAAGAAGATGGATTTTAGCTTAGTCTGTTGTCATAATTATTTCATAGTATATGTAAACCAAACATCATGCTGTATGATTAAATTAAAAACAATTTTTAAATATATACTTTTTATTGCATGTATACTTGAGCCCTTGTTACTTATATTTTTATGCAGATATTCTTGTTCAGGAGTTTGTGAAATTTGGATCACTAGATACATATCTGAAAAAGAATAAAAATTCTTTAAATATAGTATGGAAACTTGATGTGGCTAAACAGTTGGCATGGGCCATGCATTTTCTAGTAAGTAGTATATTCTTTTATCAAAAACCTATTTTTTATTTTTTGAAGCAATGGAGAAAAGATTTTGACCTATGAAAAAAAATAAATCTGGAATTAGATGCTCAGTCATTTAAAATAATCTGTTAGCTGATAAAAGGAATTATTTTAGGTATATATTTATGTAAAGTCACTTCTGAAAGAAATAATTTAGTTGTTTTATCCACCTCTTAGAATTGCTAGTTTGTAGCACTTGGGCTTAGAAATTTCAACCAAAAATCCTGTGAATTCTAGGAAGCATGTTGTACTAACTATAGATAACAGAAAATTCCTGCAAAAAATACTTTGTTCTGGTGTTAGTGGACAATTTGATATTACGTACAGTGAGAAAGCAGTATTGCCAGAGAAGCAGAATACAGGAGGGCCTGCATGACCAGACCTCTTGCAGTGCCCCTGCTTTGTACTGCTTAACAGAAACAGTATTTGTTGTCGTCATCTATCACCTAGAAACACATACTGTTTTAAATCTCAGCTTTAGAAAGTGAAGTGGCATTGGGTGATTTTTATTTATTTGTTTCATCATGGGCATTGATTATTGTGTCATTTAAAATGTAAAGTAGGAAGAACAGTACAGCCATAAAATTTCCTTTTATTATCACAGAGCATGCCTCCAAGTTAATGTTTATTAATAAACAGACTTATTTTCTTTCTTAAATTAATTTTGGGACCTTGGATATATTAAGGCTTCAAATACTTATATAAGTTGATATTTGAGTTTATTTACATTTAACTTAATAGGAAGAAAAAATCCTTATTCATGGAAATGTGTGTGCCAAAAACATTCTACTCATCAGAGAAGAAGACAGGAAGACAGGAAATCCTCCTTTCATCAAACTTAGTGATCCTGGCATTAGTATTACAGTTTTGCCTAAGGACAGTAAGTTATACTTAATTGTATTTAACTTTATTAACTTGGAGAAGAGCATAAAAATCATGTTGTTAATTTTTCTTAAACTCCATTTTATTGACATGTTCTTGATTAGTAATATAACTTAGCTCCCATACTTAGCAATCTCAATTAAGTTACATTTATATCCTAGTGTCTGACCATTTCTACTTTCTTATAAGCTTATTATCATGGACTGTAAGCTTATTACTTAAAACAGTGTTAAACCCTAGTTATGTGTGGAAAATCAGATTTTATACATTTTTAATATGAAACTTTCTAGTATCTTAGAGTTATTCAACCACAAGTAAATTGTTTTAATCACTAAATAAAAATTTGAGAAGATATATTATCTAGTTTGAGATCTTATTTAGTTTAATTGTTCAGCTAATTCCAACATTTTAAAAACATTATTTTGTGATTAGCATTCTATTTAACACAATTAAATTAAAAATGTGAGTCAAATAGTTGAGAGAGGTTTTTTAGTCCAAATAGTGTTATAATTGTATTTCACTATCCTAGCTAATTTCTCTAATTGAATATTCTAGATTTAGAATCTAAATTGATCTACTTTTGTACACTGGTATGTGGTATACTATTTGGGTCAGTACTACTTAAAGTTGATGACTTACTCAATATTGAAAACAGAAAAAATAGGGCAGGAAATGTTGTACATCTTAGATCTGCTATTCAGGGAAATTTTGCCCTTTCAATGAATGGTGAAGAAGGAAAAAATGTTTTGGTATAGTGGAGAAAGGAACCTGAACTCTTAAATCTTTTTTTATGCTGCAGATATACTCACGTTGCTTTACCACTATATACCAAAGGATGCATTATCCTTCATTCTTATTTATTTACTTATCTATTTCTGTCTATGCCGTAATACCAAAAGGTGGAACTAGAGTGCCGTTGCCTTCTACAAATATCATTTTTTTATAATGGTGTCAAAGACTACAGAAACTTTACTTGGGAAATTCCATTATCTATACAGAAAATCTACCTATATCAATTCTGTACCCAGAATATTTTGGTAGATAATTTACTCATCCATTTGCCATAATAATAAATGCCTGTTGTTCCTTGTTTTCATATCAACAAGTTAGAATTACTAGTGATATTTAGTCATTAAAACAGGTAGGAATGACGTTAACATTACCTTTACTACTTATACAGTGTAAAGAAATACCAAAAAAGTATCAAGAGCCTATGTTAGGATAAATTTTATAGAACAATAAATTTTTGAATGTGGAATTAAAATGAGAAAGTAGGATACTAGTTGAGACATTATGGTTTAATGGGAAGGAAACTTAGTTATACAGAATTATAACTCTGTGCTACTAATACGTTGTACGACTTTGGGCTAATTATTCAATCTTTGTGGGTCTCATTGTTGTCATTGTTAAAGCTGAGCTATTGAATTAGAGTATCTCAAAGGTCTCTTGTAGCCCTCAAGTGTGTGCATGTGTATACACATTCTCCCACCTCTCCCCCAACAAACGAAATCTGATTACTCAAATTAGTTTGGAAATGATTTGCATGTAACAGAATTGTTTAGTTTGGGGATTATTTGACCATCCTTTTTTCCTATCATTTAAAAGTTCTTCAGGAGAGAATACCTTGGGTACCACCTGAATGCATTGAAAATCCTAAAAATCTAAACTTAGCAACAGACAAATGGAGTTTTGGCACCACTTTGTGGGAAATTTGCAGTGGAGGAGATAAGCCACTGAGTGCTTTGGATTCTCAAAGAGTAAGTTCATGTAGAGTGAGAGGTTGGAATTACTCTCTATTTGATTCCTGACATGATATGATATATTTAACCTATATAATGTTAAAAAAAAAAGTTGATATGGCATTATACAATTTATTCTCAACATGTGATTCTTTAATTATAGAAGCTACAGTTTTATGAAGATAGGCACCAGCTTCCTGCTCCAAAGTGGACAGAACTAGCAAATCTTATTAATAATTGTATGGATTATGAACCAGATTTTAGACCTTCTTTCAGAGCCATCATACGAGATCTTAATAGTTTGTTTACTCCAGGTATGTATTGAAAGAGTGATCTTACTGATTCTCTAACTGTATTTCTATCTTCTTATAGTTAAAATCCTAATTAATTCTGTAATCACTTTTTAAGTTCTTTGATGTCTTTTAGACCCTCTTAATTTCTATGTCCACCGGAATTTTCTTATTTTATATACATGTTTTAGTCTCCTTGATTGAGCGGTCTATTTATAAAAAAGTTTTTTTTCCCCTCTAACCTAATTTTAATGTCAGTTAATAAATGGTATATGAGGGCCTCCCTGGTGGCACAAGGGGTTAAGATGCAACCTATGCCGCTATCCATAGCCACTGCAGTATGAGTTCGATCCCCGGCCAGGGACCTGCCCACATGGCGTAGCAGACCTTTCCTGACTGGCCCACTGCTCCCCTCAGCAGTGTATTTCGGTCATTCTGCCTGTTTTGTTCCCCACTCTGTCTCTGGTAAATCCTCCCACACACACCCCCCACTTCTGGCCTGTACCCCAGTTCTTCTATGTATAAATAAATAAATCTTTGAAAATAAATAAATAAATAGTATATGATAAGAGTTTATTTGGTGTAATTGACTTTTTAAAAACAATTCTCAGGTTTTTTTAAAATTAGTTTTTACATATTTTATAATTGATTAGCTTTCCAAACATAAAGTAGGTTTGTTTTTCCGCTCCTCCTTAGAATATTGTACCTGAAAATGCATTTGTCTGACACATGGATATTTCCTACTCCAATGCTACATGCTATTCTCACAACAGGAATCACAACAAAAAGGCTTACTTTCAAATATTAAAGTTACCTACTTAGGAAAGTAATCATTTATCCTTTGCAAAACTTTTTCTTGAATACTTGTGGAATTATGGATAATAAATAAAGGGTCTCATTAATATAATCTAAACTGTTAGAGTTGCCCTGTATCAATTTATACTTACTATTTCTAAGTTATTCTGCTTAGTTTAGTCAGCTTGAATCCCTATCAATTTAACCAAAAGAAGATAGTTGCCATTATATGGTGGTAATATTCTTTTCCTACAGATTATGAACTATTAACAGAAAATGACATGTTACTAAATATGAGAATAGGCGCCCTAGGGTTTTGTGGTGCTTTTGAAGACCAAGACCCCACACAGTTTGAAGAGAGACATTTGAAATTTCTACAGCAACTTGGCAAGGTAAGATACAATAATTTTTAAAAGAATTAAAACATAATCATAGGCCATTTTATCTAGAAAAATAATTTCATCCCCCAAATCCACCTCTTTAACATAACAAGAGATACCTAAATAATCTCTTAAGTAAAAAGATAAGTTCTTTAAAAACTAACCTTTAAAAAAAAAATAGAAACACCTCCATAGGTAAATTTCCTGCTTTCTTGAGCAAATAAATCAAACTTTCCATTAGTTTGCTTGAGCTGCCATAACAAAATACCATAGACTGGGTGGCTTAAACAATAGACATTATCTTAGTTCTAGAGGGTGAAAGTCTGAGATCAGGTGCCCAGCAGGGTTCAGTTTCTGGTGAAGGCTTTTTTCTTGACTTATTATGACTTCCTTTTCCTTGAGTCCTCATGGAATGTAGAGTTCTGATCTCTCTTCCACTTGTATTTTAAAAAGGCACAAGCCTTGTAAGATTAAGACCTCATCCTTAGGACCACATTTATTGCCTCCTCAGAGTCTGTGTCTCAGAGGGAGTTAGGGCTTTATCATGAGAATTTTGTGGGTATAGACATTTGGTACATAACAGACTCCTGTTCCATCCACCTCACTGATGGTGACACTGATATCAAAGAGTATATTTTGAAGAAGCAAAGTTCTTCCTGGAAATCAGTGAAAAAAAAATTAGTGGTAAAGATTTGTTTAAATGCTTTTTTTAGAGGGAAGTTGTTTATATTTCAGCCTGTAATTACTTTTGAAGATATTAATATACAGGTTTCCTACCTGCCTTTGGAAATAGTATTTCCTTTTGTTCTCAAAGTTGCTTAATGTAAAGTTGCTTAGAGAGATATCTGCTAATTCTAGTTACAGGAATTACCTATATAAACTAGAATTTACTAGTAATTTTTCAAGAAAACTTGATATTTCTATCTTAATGTGATGTGTTCTTTAGGGTAATTTTGGAAGTGTGGAGATGTGCCGGTATGACCCCCTCCAGGACAACACAGGGGAGGTGGTGGCTGTGAAAAAGCTCCAGCACAGTACTGAAGAGCATCTCAGAGACTTTGAAAGGGAAATTGAGATCCTTAAATCCCTGCAGCATGACAACATTGTAAAGTACAAAGGAGTGTGCTACAGTGCTGGTATGTTGCCCATTGAAACTATTTTGAACTCAAGGTATGTCTTGGCTTCCTTGGCAATAGAAACAAATAATTCTCAAGATCTGGACCTATGAATATGCCAGTGCCCAGAGAGAGAGGCATTCAGTATGACTAGAGATTGTGCTTGGTGTATGTGGGCTATAACTACAGGATGTTTGGGCTAGTTGGTCCATTCTTTTTTAAACTTACCAACAGAATATAATTTTTAAAGAAAAATATTATTTTTACTCACATTTTCTATGAAAGTATTATTTTTAAGTAAATGCTTTTTGTTCATTATTGATGAAAATAAAGAAATTTTTCTCAACAGCATATTTTATTATGTATAAATGTTACAGAAGACTAAAAATAATTTTTAAAACTCCATTCAAAACTTTCTCATTAAAAAGCCTTTGTTCTTAAATCTGTAATTTATAATTAAGTTTTATCATCTTAGACTGAGATTTTATGTATCTTCAAGTCTTATATATATCTTTTATATATGCTTGTTTTCTAATATTTCATCAGTAAAATGTGACAAAATAAAAATTATGTTCTCATTTGTGTGTTAAAAGGCCGGCGTAATCTAAGATTAATTATGGAATATTTACCATATGGAAGTTTACGAGACTATCTCCAAAAACATAAGGAACGGATAGATCATAAAAGACTTCTGCAGTACACATCTCAGATATGCAAGGTACCTAATATCCTGGCAATTTGTTATGAAAGAAAAGAGTTTGTTGAAGTAATTGATAAAAAATCTGTAATTTTTTTTGATAATAAAGGGAATATATAGAGGTAAAACCTTTTTGATTATGTTCGTAAAACTAACAGAAAGAAAAATATTTTATCTACAGGGTATGGAGTATCTTGGCACAAAAAGGTATATTCACAGAGATCTGGCAACAAGGAATATATTGGTAGAGAATGAAAACAGAGTTAAAATTGGAGATTTTGGGTTAACTAAAGTCTTGCCACAAGACAAAGAATACTACAAAGTGAAAGAACCTGGGGAAAGTCCCATATTCTGGTGGGTATATTTTAGTACAATAAAATGAAATTTTAGAACACAAACATGAACTTTATTTTCACTATATTAAGAATTTGTCATTTATAATTTCATAATACTCTGGCATCAACTGACGTTTTTAGGTTAAAGCAATTTGAAGCTAAAGGGAATCTTTGATAGTTAAAATTATGAATCATGAACATACAAACCTAATTTTTTTGTGGTATATGTTGTTTCTAGTGATTTGTGCTTTGATGTTCAAGGTTTCCTTTATATATCTTTGTTCACTTATGGTACATTTTATTTTATATGGATAAGTCAATGAAATATCTAAAGGGTTTGTTTTTTTTTTTTTGGATGCATTTCAAATATACTTTAATTCCAGTCTATTCATTTGCTGAAATAATATTTTTAAGATTATGTTTGCTAAGGGGTGGGTTTTATTTATTTTAGTTAAGTATATTTTATTTACAATTTGGGTCTCTGACTTGAAAATATGAATTACTAATATAAACAATGTAGTTGTCCACTTATAAATATTTTGGGAGATTTATCAGGTTTATTACAAATATGTAGATTATTAATTTTGTTACTGCTAATTTCATGGATTATCCATATGTGTTAGTTATCTTCATTTTATTTTGTATCTATAAGTTATACAACTAATCCCAGTTACTGTTATTGTTTGGAAGGAAATCAGGTCAGAAAACCCCAATTTAGATTTAGAGCAAATGGATTATTCCACAGAAGAGGCAATTTAGAATGGCACTGTGAATGTATTTTAAAGAAGAGTTTTAATTTTTAGAGATGTGTACTGAAAATAATTATGAATGAAATACTATAACATCCAAAGTTCACTGCATATAAATCCAGTGGGAACAAGGTAGGGAGCAGTAGATACAATAAGATAGGCAATGAATTTAGCTAAGTGATAAGTACATGGTTGCTCCTTGTTCTCTTATTTATGTTTGAAATTTTTCTTTTTTTAAAAAAAATCTATTTATTTTATTTATTTATACAAGAACCGGGGTACAGACCAGATGCATGGGAGGGTGAGAGGATTCACCAGAGACAGAGCGGGGAACAGAACAGGCAGAATGACGAAATACACTGCTGAGGGGAGCATCGGGCGCGACAGGAGAGGTCTGCCACACCATGTGGGACCCTCGCTGGCTGGCCAGGAGCGGACCGGCAGAGGCTGTGGACAGCTTCACAGTGCTGCTCTCAACTGCCTGCACCACCAAGGGAGGCCCTGAAATTTTTCATAAAAATTAGGGCAGATTGTTTAAATTGTTTATGAATATAATTCATAAACAATTTTTAAGAAATATCCTGATGATACTTATTAGCAATATTGTCATCTAATGATCTTTAGAGTATAAGTGAAACTAGAAAATAATACTCATCTAAACTTGACTATTTGGTCATGTCCCAATTATTCATCAATTTCACTGTTTTTCCAGAATGAGAAATTAAAGAAGTTGAATGGAATTAACTGGTAACCCATAAAGACTAGTTACATGAATTTTCAGTTTGGGGCATACATAGTGAATATAATTTAATAAACATTTTTTAAGCATCTGTGGTGTTCCAAACATCATACTAGGAGCTTAGCACAAGAAGATAGGTTTAGCACAGAAAAAAAAATCTAGGAATTGTCCCTTACTACTGAGGTTGAATTAAAAGGAAAAGTTTGATATGGCAGGCAAATTCAGCTAGCAGGGTCCGCTATCCATAACATCTTCCTTTTAAAACCACATAGTTTAGGAAAAATCAAGTGTAAAATCAAATCATTGCAATGCAGTGTGCGGGTACAGTAATGAAGATGGTGGGAAAACCACAACTAAGAAATGACATCTCAACTATTGATTAGTAGTTTACCAGATAGACACAAGAAAGGACATCACATGAGGAGGACAATAAGAACAAGACAATCAGGGTCTTGCAAGTAAATGGCATAAGCACAGAACAAATTGGGAGTAATTGAGGCTGAAAAGTTATCGGGACCATTTGAACTCATCTTAATGAGTTCAGGCTTTCTTCAGTAGAACATGTAGGTGAGAAATTAGATGTTTTACCAAGGGAAGTAATATGGTAAGATTCCTATTTTGAGAAGACAGCTCCACTTTTGGTGGAGAATAGCAGTTCTCAAAGTATGGGGGTCTTCCTTTATAGGGAATCTCTGTGGTCAAAAGTTTACTTTCATAATAATAATAATAAGATGTTATTTGCCTTTGTTACTCATTTTTTCATGGGTATATAGTGGAATTTCCAGAGACTACATGATGTGTCTTCTATGAAATCAGAAGTTAAAAGAAACTTGTCTTTTCAAAAAAATTTTTTGTTTTGGAAAAAAGTTATTTTTCATAGTTTTATTTGTTAACAGTAGTTGGATTTTTTAAATGAGTACTTTACATTTCTTCATTTAATATTTTATATGATAAATAAAACAGAAGCTTTGGGGGACTTTAATAATTTTTAAGTATAAATGGGTCTGAGACTAAAAGGTTTGAGTACTACTGGTATAAAGTGTCCATTATATTTATAAGAGGCTAATAGTAGAGAGAAGACTATGTCAGGCAACTTTTTCAGGAATCTAGGCCATTGGTTTTCTAACTCTGTGTGTATGTGTACACCCACTAAAAAAACATGAAAAATTGTGTACTTTCTTGCACATTTTAAAAATGACAGCTAAATTTTTTCTTTGTAAATCTAAATAATAGTAAATTGTAAATCTAAATAGTTATAATTTTCTAAAGTATTATAAATATTAGCATCTAAATAACAGTTATATCAGTCTTGTAGGTGTGTCCAGTGAAGTCTAAATACCACTTAGAATTCATAGATATCCATTCTCACGCACTTAAAAAAGTGTAGGGACATTTTATCTTTCTTTTTTTTTTTTTAAATAATAAATTTTATTTTTATATTCCCCATACAATTGCAACCCCCCCATTCTGACCCCAATCCCTCCCTTCCCGCCCCCCACCCCCAAAAAAAAGTGTCTCTGTTTCATAGTTTTTTGTTGATTTTGATTTTCACTTTCTTATAGTTATTCATTTTCCTGGTCCCTTATTTAAGTTTTCTAGATTCCTGCTATGAGTGAGACCATCCGGTATTTTCCTTTTTCTTTTTGGCTTATTTCGCTGAGCATGATCCCTTCCAGCACCATCCATGTTGCTGCAAATGGCATGTGTTTATCTTTTTTGAATGCTGAGTAATATTCCATGGTATATATGTACCACATCTTCTTGATCCAGTCATCTATTTTTGGGCATTTGGGTTGTTTCCAAAGCTTAGCTATTGTAAATAGTGCTGCTATAAACATAGGGGTGCAGGTGTTCTTTGGAATTGATGTTTCTGTGGGACATTTTATCTTTCGAAGAAACTTTACATCATTCCTTTTTCTCCTTAAAATTTTATTTCCACTTCCCTTCTCACTCAAAATTTTGCATAAAGTGTTATATTTTGCACTTGAAAGATCTTTAGATCACCTATCTTTTTAATAACCAGAATATGTATATGAATTGAAATTAATTTTTAAATTTTTTCTCATCACAAAACTTGTAAGTATTCACATTTTTCTTCTGAATTGAGTTATTGGAGTTGTTATCAGGATGTAATTTCCCAAAGCAATATAAATTGTAAATTTGGGTAGTTTACAAATTTTTACTGTAGCATTTAATTTCTTTTTTTTTTTTAACTGTAGCATTTCTTAATATTAAAAATGAAGCTTTCCCCACCCTCCAGTTAGCTCATACACGTTTCTGAGATACATAGCAAAAAAGTACATAGTGATCTACCTTTAAAATTTATCTGTTAACTGGCAATTATGTTAGGTTCATTCTTTTTTCAATTTTATTGAAAAGAAAGAAACCTACTTGACTTTGAAAACAGATTTATTATTCAATCACTAGAGCCATTCATTTTCTCAATTTCTGGGAAGTATGCCAAAAAGATTTTTCAATTTAATTAAAATCATAGTGTTAGTCTCATTTAGACATACTTTACTTAAAGTGATACATTTAGAAAATGTTGCAAAGCAGAATATTATGAATTTCAATATGGTATTTATAATAACATCTTTAATCATTTTAAATACATGACTTAAATGTGTCAAACATTTATGCTGCCTCAAAGGTTGAGTCAGTTTATGAAGAATGTGTGTACTTCATACAGCCCATTTGGTAATACCAGGCCTCATAAGAAAATCACATTTAATTTGTTACAGAAAAAGTTTGACTTCACTTTTCAATTCAAGTAAGTATATTAATTTTATGAAATAATATTTTTAAATAAAATAAATTGCAGAGCATGTGTAGAGCCATGTTTACAATGAAGCTAGCAAAGTATATCTACTAAAGTGCCATCTTCCAAGATTGCTTCTTTCAACTTTCTAACTAGTTTTATATCCTTTATCATGAACAAATTCCCCAAATTATATAAGCTTTGGACTTTTTCTCTCCCTGCATCTCTGGAAACATAAATCATAAGAGCAATCAGGATGAGCTTAAGATGTTATAAACCTAGTAATAATAATTTCATATTGTTCAAAATAAGGTAAATCATCAATTTTCAAAAAATAATACAAGATAAAATATAGCTCAGATTCTAACTTAGGAGGTAAGGTGTATGGTAAAAGGCATGGTATTCTTTCAGTAAATAAGTTGGGGAGAGAGGAATGTATCAAACTCTGATGTTTGACTTTAGGATTCACAAAATAAGAAACTTGTATAAAAATCAGAAATAACACAGGTCATCATGATTTATCATTGATTTCATGATGATCGAAATTTTCCTATGTATTTAATGAAAAAGAAAGCTATATGGTCTCGCTGGTGGCGCAGCGGTTGAGCGCTGGGTTGCGAAGTTGCCCGCAGCCTATGCAGCTTGAGTTCAATCCCGGCCGCCGGGCGAGGGTACCACATGGCGCAGACCTCTCCTGCCGCCCGCTTCTCCCCTCAGCAGTGTACTTCATCAGTCTGCCTGTCCTGGTCTCCGCTCTGGTGAATTCTCTCACCCTTCCGTGCTTCGGACTGTACCCAGTGCTTGTATAAATAAATAAATAAATCTTTAAAAAAAAAAAAAAAGAAAGCTATATACTACTGAAAACTAGTTGGGCATTTAGCATAGTTTTATTTTTATATTAGCAAATATAAATATTAAATGCTTACTACAATGAAATGCTGTTGACTAAACTTCATATAAATATTTCAGAATATGAGTTGATAAAATGGGTTTTAGCTACCTTATTGAATAATGAACTCTAAATCTGAAGTCTGAAAAATCACATTTAATTTTTGTCTATAGGATTTAGCCATCTTATCTTTTAAAAAAATATGTTTTTATTTAATATATTGCTTTTGTTATTTAAAAGTGCCTTTCTGGCATGCCCAAGGCTTTGTTTGAGAAGAACTGAGGGGGAAATGTTTCTGCTAAAATAATTTTTTAAATTGTTAAAGCAGAGTTTTAGAGCCATGGAGGATCCTTATACTGTTCAATAGAGTATCCCTTAAAAAGTCCTTTGTATAACTTTGGTGTTACTCTTCATCTGTTTTGAAGATCCATGAACTAGTCATAAGATGAGATATGGTTCTAACAGAGGTTAGGAGACTGAGACCTTTCGAAAATATACTCTGATGGGAGTTGGTGACTCTTTAGATATTAGGTTGCGTTTTACCTTGCACCACCAGCGAGGCCCGAAGAGACAGTTTTTATTGAAAGAGAGCTCCGAGGTTACCTCTGTAGGTATGAGAGAGACTCCTAGAGTTTCTGGAGATAGGGATCTGTAAATTTTAGAGCTGGGGTTTGAAAACAAAGAAATTAAACTGTATTGGCTGGGAAAACAAGGAGAATGGATTTGAAAACTTTTGTTTGGTTTCTGTATATTCCACATATAAGTGAAACCATCTAATACTTATCTTTCTCTGACTTATTTAGCTTAGCATAGTCCTAGCAATAATTTCTTTTGCTGTGCAGAATCCTTAATCTTGATGTAGTTACATTTGTTGTTTCTTTCATTTCTTGTGCAATAGGAGTGGAGTCCCCAAAGACATCATTGAAGCAAATGTTGTGGAATGTCTTGCCTTTGTTTTCTGCTGTGTATTTTATAGTTTCAGGTCTTCCATCCAAGTCTTTAATCCATTTTGAAACACTTTTTGTATATGGTGTGAGAGAGTGATACAGTTCTTTTGCATGTCCAGTTTTCCCAACACCGTTATTTTCAACAGGGAGAATTATTCTTTCTTACCTGATTTATATTTATCCTTACATAAATGATGCAGGAGAGAAAAATAGCTTTGGAGATGATGGGAGTAAATTACAAAGAACGTTTTCATGAAAAGCAAAGAAAGAATATTTTGCAAGGGGTAGAGGGAGAAGCACTATATTCAAGGATGTCACATTCCACTTGTGGGATAAGACTAAAGTACATTTAGAAGTAAATAGGCAAATTTTTAAAAACTAAATATAGGGCCTCCCCTGGTGGCTCAGGAGGTTGAGTGCCACACTGTGAAGCTCTCCGCAGCCTCTGCAGTACCGGTTTGATCCCTGCTGGCCTGTGAGGGTGCCACATGGCACGGCAGACCTCTCCTGTCTCACCCGCTGCTCCCCTCAGCAGTGTATTTCGTCATTCTTCCTGTTCTGTTCCCCGCTGTGTCTCTGGTGAGTTCTCTCACCCTCCCACGCCTTCTGGCCTGTGCCCCAGTTCTTGTATAAATAAATAAATAAATAAATAAATGAATGAATGAATGAATGAATGAATGAATGAATAAATGAATCTTTAAAAAAAGAGATTAAATTTATGTGATTTGTATTTTTAATCTTATCAGCCTAAAACAGATCTCTCACAATCCTCTATGAAAAGAATCCACTTAGCAGTGGAAACATGATATATTTGCAATCCATTGGCCAAAATGTTGAGTATCTACTCAAATTCCTTGAGTAGATATTATTTCCTCCTATGACTTTGTTTCTTTTCTTTGCTCCTCTTATAATTACCCCCATTATGGTTAACAGGTTCTTTTGCAAGTTAATAGCTTCAAGTTTTGCTTTATCTTAGAAACCACTTTTTTCCTCTCTAGGATATTTTTGTGCATTCATTTAAAACCCAGCTTGCAAAGAGCTGCTTATTTTCTGTTCTTCAACCTACAGAGACAATTTTTTTTTTTTATTTTAGTTATCTTTGTGTGTCAGAGGTCCATTCCCAAGACTAACCTCAGGTTCCATCATTCACTAAGATGACTCAGGATACAGTCATACTCATTGCTGTTCTTCCCTATACAGGAAAAGGATACAAAGCAAAATTAGCAATGGGAAAGGTGTCTGTGGCAAACCCTGGAATAAACCAAGCACAAGTTTCCAAGGGTCCTCTCCTGGTAGTAATATGGGACACACTTAATTCCCTCAGCAGTGAGTTGTGACAAAAGACATGAAACGTCTACTAAAGAAGCTCATTAGATACACAGTGCCTGAGGTTTTTGTTGGGACTGACCTCATAGGCACTCTTTTCCTGGTACATATTAAAATTCTAAGCTCCCATAAGGAAAGCAGGTGTTCGGCATAAAGAATACTATTTGCACAGTTTAGGTACAGTGTGCCACTCTAACCATCTAAGGAATTGTGGCAACTCTTCTGAAATCTAGGTTCCCAAGTGCCAGTCAATTGTTGACTTTGCAAGCAGGCTTTTTTAAGGATGGAGGCTGCTGGACTACTGTGTTAATTCTTTTCTGTGCATCGTGTGTGTGTGTGTGTGTGTGTGTGTGTGTGTGTGTGTGTGTGTTTTCAATTCTGTGATGCCGGTAAAATCAAGAGTTGGCACATCAAGTAACTATCTTTTAAATGCTTTCCTTATTTTACAGGTATGCTCCAGAGTCACTGACAGAGAGCAAGTTTTCTGTGGCCTCAGATGTTTGGAGCTTTGGAGTGGTTCTTTATGAGCTTTTCACATATATTGAGAAAAGTAAAAGTCCACCAGCGGTCAGTATGCTGTTTATTTAGTTCCAACTTTTTTTAATATGAGAAAAGCTTTTTCCAAAGAATAATAATAAACTAAGAGCTCATTTTAGAACCTCGTTTTTACTTATAAGACTGTCCAGCAAAAATAACTCTATATAGATTAACTTGAACTTTAAAAAGGGAAGGTTGGAGCACTGTTTAGTATATTCTTTTATATAATTTTAATAAACCCAGTAAACTGATTAATTCCAGAAACTGTTAAAAAAGTTAAAATAAAAATTACTTTCAAGTCATTTCTATTCATTGCAGTATTTTTTATATAGAAAACTATGAAAAAGAAAATAAAAATAATCTAATTCAACTACTCAAAGATAATCACTTTAATATGGTATGTTTTCTTCCTGGCTTCTTTAAATTTATATATAAAAGTGAAATTTTTTTAAAAATATTCCTTTTGTAAAATAAAGGTGATACTGTAGAATTTGATTTTTTTTTCATTAGTATTATGGCATGGGTACTTTACTATATTAGTAAATATTTACTGAAAATATGACTTCTAACTTCGGGTAGTATTCTGTCATAATTTTTGCACAATTATTTTCCATTTTTCAATTTTTTTTAGAAACACTTCAATGAGTAGTGAACATCCTTACACATAAATATTTCTGTTTATTATTGGTTGCCATAAAAGTACAATTATAGGTGAAAGGTTATGAATTCTTTAAAAGTTTATTATTTGAAAATGCTTTCCAGACATGTGCTTTGCAAATTTTTATATTGGCAAGTTTTCTTACCAGTTTATAAGAACATTCTGTATCTAAAACACATAAATGATGTGTTTACAGTAAATATTTCTGTAGCTTGTTAAGTTTAATTTTATGAATTTTTAACATTTCTATGTTTTCTTTCCATTGTATTTATGCTTACATATTCATTCTGCATTTCTTTTTGCTATGTGCTTTCACATTGAACTTTTTATTTCAACTGAAATATAATATAGTATATTAAAACAACAACAAAACTCTAAAGCACATGTTTTTAGTTCATGTGTTTCTGGGCCCTTCTTGAGGAATTTGTGTTGAGTGTATTACAATTATGGAAATGGCATTTAAGAGCCTAACAGTTTTTCCTGAAATATGACTATAAAGGAAGTTTTTTATCCTTAAAGTAGTATGTTTTTAAAAGGTTTCAAACAGGGCCACCCTGGTGGCACAAGGGGTTAAGATGCAACCTATGAAGCTATCCGCAGCCACTGCAGCATGAGTTTGATCCCTGACCAGGGAGCTGCCCACATGGTGTGGCAGACCTCTCCTGATTTGCCCACTGCTCCCCTCAGCAGTGTATTTCAGTCAGTCTGCCTGTTCTGTTCACCACTCTGTCTCTTGTGAATCTTCTGACCCCCGCCCACACACACCTCTAGCCTGTACCCCAGTTCTTATATGCATAAATAAATAAATCTTAAAATAAATAAATAAAAGGTTTCAAACATAAAAGAAAACAAATACACAATATTTTCCCCATTTACTAGAGGAAATTAAGGAAAGTTCTGCATCAAATTAAATATATCCAAAAAATTTCATTGAAAAGTTTTGTGTTTCAGGAATTTATGCGTATGATTGGCAATGACAAACAAGGACAGATGATTGTGTTTCATTTAATAGAACTTTTAAAGAATAATGGGAGATTACCAAGACCAGATGGATGCCCAGATGAGGTAACAAAAAATTTCTTTATGCATAGTTCTCATGTATTAACTTCCTCTGTTTACCTAAGAATTTTAGGTTATTTTATGACCTGACCTATTTAGTTCATTTAACTTTTTGACAAAGAGCATAATCATATCTGTGGATCAACGGATTGCCATAATATATGCCTGTTCAGGAAAATTAAGGAATTCCAAATTCTTCCACCAATTCAAAGATGGCACTTTTGTGTTCAATGTAGTTTTATTTTCTCTTACAGATTTATGCGATCATGACAGAATGCTGGAACAATAATGTAAATCAACGCCCCTCTTTCAGAGACCTAGCTCTTCGAGTTGATCAAATAAGGGATAACATGGCTGAATGAAAGAAGTGAACTTCACTGTGAGACCAAAATAGACTTACATGCCAAAATTTTGTATTTCATATTGCTGTGGACTCTTATGCATATTATGTATATCATACTGCTAGCCAGCAAAGATGTGGAAATATCTGCTCAAAACCTTCAAAGTTTGGTGAATTTTTCTTCATGAGGACACCAGTAAAAGACATTGACAGAGTGTCTTTTACAAAGCAAAGAATTTGTAAAAAGTTTCATGAACAGGATCAGTCAGTGAATATCACCTTTCTTTGTCAAGAGAAAAAGACTTTTTTCCAACTCAGAATTTTAAGAGATGAAAAAACTGTAAACTTTGTAGTGTTAAAGATGCACAGAATATATATGTACAGTTTTTACCACAGTGAATGTATAATACCTTGGTATCTTGTGTGATATTTTACACAAGGACTGGTATTCATAATGTTTTCTAATTTTTCCATGGTTGATCTATAATAACTTCACTGTACAAATTATGATGATTAGATAATTGAATAAGCATCTTGGGTGTCTTTGTTCATCTATATCACTGGCCAGCAATATAAGCAGCTGTACACTTGGAGCTTGTAGTTCTTTGTACTGTAAATATTTTTAAAGTAAAGGGAACAAATGTTTAGTTTCATTTGTATTGGACATCTCTTGACCTTAAAGAATACATTTTGAAATGAAACAAGTTTACAAAGATATAACACAATCTATTTTCTTATTTGTCTCCCTTGTATTTGTTGGTGGTATGTTTTTAAAATAGAATTATCTCCAAATTTTTCTATAATTACTGTGAATAGTTTTCTTTTAAAATGTTGAGTTTAAGATTGCCAGGAATATTGTCATCCTTTGAGCTGTTGGCTGCAAATAAGATTTTTCAATCCCTGGAACATATGGTCATACATTAAATTTAAGTGTAAGCCATAAAATAGTTTTGTTTTTTAAATGTATAAATTTATTAAAATGCATAGTGTTAGGTTGGTTTTTTTTGAAGATAATGTATTTTAGAAATCTGCAGTCATAGAAGACAAGTCCTTTTGTTAGAGATCCTTATATACAAGGGGTAAAAGGGAGTAAACTGGTGAAAAACTGTGTTACTTTTATTCAACAATGCCAGTAAAAATTCATATTATATGCCTTTAAGAAAAAATGAGAGTATATATATTTCCAGTTAAATATAGAGGATGTTATTGTGATTTGTTTTAGCGCTACTCCATTTGAGACACCTTATCTAATGTGTGGTGGGGGTAAGCTTGTGGTAAGTTTGTGTTATTTATACAAAGTTAAAAATACTTGGTATTTAGTTAAAAAGAAAATTGATTTCTATTTTATTTTCAGTGATCTATACTATTTTTTTTAAAGATTTATTTATGCAAACAAGAACTGGGGTATAGGCCAGAGTGGTGAGGGGTGAGAGGATTCACCAGAGACAGAGTGGGGAACAGAACAGGCAGATTGGCGGAAATACATTGCTGAGGGGAGCAGCGGGCAGACAGGAGAGGTCTGCTGCACCATGTGGGTCACCTCCCTGGCCGGGATAGAATTCATGCTGCAGAGGCTGGATAGCTTCATAGTGCTGAGACTTAACCCCTTGCGCCACGAGGGCGGACCTATACTTGTTTTTTTAATCTTAAGATTTGTAATTTTGGTTTTTGGAGCTGGATTTAAAATGCAAAATATTTAAGAAAAATAATGCTTCACATAAAATCTGGGGGGTTTTGGCTGAATGGAAGGAGAGCATAATGTGCATTCATAGTTAAAGTATTTTTGTAATTACTGAAAGTAGAAATCATCTAAAATGATTAAATTTAAAAGTTAGATTTATAAAGATTCCTAGATGTTTGGATTAAAATTGAATATAATTTTTTTTAATTTATGAAGACTTCTCAAGGCTCAGTATATGTAATGCATATACATACTAAAGATCTTCCATTCTGCTACTTTTAAAGTAAAAAGTAGCATATCATATTATACTTGATTTCAGAATTTTGTACTTATATACTTACAGTAAATTCTTAATGTTTTATGACTTTTTTCATAAACAAGGATATTAACTAGATTTCTTTAAAAATATTTTTAATGTCTCAGTTTTTTGTTTTATGTGGCAGACTCCATATAAGCATTATTAATTTTTTAGAGTGGAATGACCACCTTATTTGAAAATTAGCTTTCAAAAGAATTATTATTCATTGAGAGTTTTTTAATTTTTTAAAATTTTAATTCTAACCATACATAAAAAGAAATGGACCCTGAAGCTGTTTAGTTCATTCTACACAAGAAACAGGTAAGTAATTATTGCATCAATTAATGTCAAAATGTTTCTTAAAATTAATATTGTTCAGAAATGATGGTAAAAATTTTCTTAGAATCCTGTAATTCTGTCAATAGTCCAGTATTTTAAGTTATACAGTCTTTCTATAGATAAGTCCCAGCATCTATGGCTACCTACTTTGGGAAATAGACATTTATTCTTTTAATTTAAATATAATGTATATATATAAATATATAGAGACACACACATATATATATGTAGTATATATAGTAGATTATTTGCTGTGGAAGATGCTTTCTTACACCTAAGACTTCTGCTTAGTGAAATTTTTATCACAACTACTCATATTTAAATTTTATTTAAATAGTTTTATTATGGAATAAGCATTAGAAAATATCTATAGTTCTAGACCAGGGGAGTCATTCTCCATGGGATGGCATTATGGTCAGTTTATTGACACTGTTGTTACTTTCTTCATTGTGCCTTTGCCATGTTCCTGCAAAACTGAAATATTGATATAATAAATATTCAGAAGTTATTTTCTTTTGTTTTGTCACCTAACCCTGGACGTGGGGGGTACACATACTGCTTTAAGAATATTTAGAGAAAGCCTTTTCTAATAGTAAGTTTACCTTTTGACATTTTAAAGAAATGCTTCCTAAGTTTGCTATCAGCTATGGTTTCGTCTTAATGAACATTGCTATATCCACCCTAATTTTAGTATTTAAGTCATTTTTAATGAAAGCTTCTCTTTTTTTTTCCAGTATAAATTACTAAAGATCTTCAATTTTGCTGTGTTAGAATAAATTACAACAGCAGTATGTATGCAGCATTCTCCAAACAAGACTAGGTTAAATGAGATAAAAGCTTCCTTTTAAGCTTTCAGGGAGAAAAAAAAAAAGCAGGAATATCAGAAAAATCTGTGTGTTCACCCCCAGATTTGGATTAGTTGTACTTAATTTCATGATAACTAGCTGCTAAGTATTTCATGATGCTGACAGCAACATTAGATTTCAGGATGACAAAGAATTTTAAAACTTACACATTAATCAAAAGTTATATAATATGCATATCATATATCCTTTAACATTTAATATTAATCAAGTCCTTAGGAAAATGCATATTATAATCATGAACATTAAAAGTGTTTAATCCTATAATCTTAACTTTATTTTACTTCATTACAATAATGTTCTTTAGGTTAAGAATTTCTGTTGTGCTTATGATTAGTTAAAGCCCTGAATATGATTCATTATTAAATGAACTTAAACATGTATAAAGAAAAGCCTTACCTCCAAGTGAAACAAATTTTTATTAATATAGTTCTACAGATTGTTAATGATCATTATTCCACTGTTAAGTCTTTCTTTGCATAACAGATTGCTTAACCTTTGATATATTTTTAACAAACTATGCCCTTATAAAATGAAAGTGTCAAAAAAGAACTCTAACACCCCCTGTTCCACTTATCCATATTCATCGATTTTATGAATAGTTTTGATTTTAATATCTGTAGTAGGAAGCAATCCTATACATGCTTTTTACTCAGGTCAACTAGTCAGTTTTGACTAGACATAGCATAGTTTTTTAGATCCGTTGGTAAATAATGACAAATAGAGAAAGGGGGTAAGGAAAAGATGGCATAAGCAAGATATTGCAGGTCACTGAGAAGGCAAATTAACAGGTGCAGATGAGAAAACATTTTCAAAACAAGTACTAAAAACATAAATGAAAATAGGCACTAGAAAAATTTGTTGATCAGCTATTTTTTAAGCACATTTGTATGCATGAAAATGTGTATGCATGCAGTTCACAGAGAAAGTAATAAAGTGAATAGTACTTTTAATGAAAAAATTTAGGGTCTTTCAAATGCTTGGACTATATATGAATCTTGTGAATTTTTTGTAGCATGTTGTTTAAGTTGGTGATAAAGCGAGAAAGATAAATCTAATACTTTAACACTCAATTATAAAAAATATCTACTTGAAATTTTCTTTTCCACTTTGACTACTTGAAATACACGATACTTTTCTTCCTCTGCATGATAATTTTGTTGAAGAGTGCTATAACGATGAATCTTTATAGCTATCCCAAATGTTAAGTATATTTAAACAAAATCTATTATTTTATGTCCTTAGTCACATTTAAGACATCTCAATATTCACTTGGAAAGTTAGAAAGTTGCAAAATCAAAGACTTCATCTTGATTATTAAGAATAACTGAATTTTCTAACAATACTGATTAACATACTTTTAATCTGCACACTAAGACATCTAAGCCTTAGATGTGCAAGCCCAGAACTAAAAGCCATATCTTAACTGGTTTGTGATGAAAGGTGCGCTTATTGAATCCTACTCAGGAAGAATTTAAAAACAAAAGTCAGTGTTTCTCACAAATCCATCTAGAACACTTTCTTTTTTCAAACAAATGCTCTAAATCCTTATTTCAATCAGTAATTTTGAGGACAGCATGAATCTCCTGGTATCACTTCTTTTCCTTTTTGTAATGAGTTTAACTGCAAAATACGCTGGAACACAAGAAGATGAACAACCTTCATAAACAGTGAAGGGAAGAATTAAAAGAACTTAGCAATCAATATGAAAGTCAAGGTATACAAAGCTCCTACAATCACCAAAATCTGGGCAGATTGAGGGTGAAGTACTTAAGGAATTAATTGAAGAAAAAGTCAAAGCTAGAATGAAGAAGTTTTGTGGGTTGTTACTGTCAACTTAGAAAAGAAGCTGAAACCACAAACAATTTACTTTGAATATGATTGCATTGATATTTTCCAAGATCCAATAGTTTACAGCATGACTCATAGTTTACAGCATGACTCATAAGGGAATATTTATTTTTCTGACTTTGGGGGGCAGATGGGAGGAATGTTATCAGAAAAGATCAGAAAGTCAAGAGAGATTGCAGAACTACCGTTTACAAATTTAGGATTATCCCAGGGTAGGGATAATACCTGTAAAAGGGTGTTTGTTACATGGACCACTAGTTACAGGAAAAACTAATAACAAGAGCTACTGTTAGTCAGCTGGACTGTCTAATGTATTTAATGTATTTCTTTAATGTATCTACTTCTATTGTACACAAGTACATTAGTGAAAGTGCTCATTTGATTAAAGAAACAAATATGCCAGGAATCATCAGCCATCCAACACTTCTACTGAAAAAATAGATGCCACTGGTGGATATTGGTTTTCTGAAAGTATTTCAGCTGATATTCCTTAATGGAGTTAATGAAATGAATGGATACAATATTGATACTTTCCCAGAGAGTTAAAATGGTCATGGAAACAAACATGTACAGTGCATCTTCCTTTGCAGTCTCCAGGTAAGTAGAAAAAGTATATTTAAAAAAATTAAGTATAAGCGGTTGAAAAACCAGAGGAGGGTCCCACATGGCGTGCAGATCCCCTCAGCAGTGTAAATTCTCTCATGACTGTACCCAGTGCATGACAAACCAGAATCATGCCTCTATAAAAAAATTAAGTATATTGAAAAATTAAGTATATTGAAAATTATGGAAATAGAATCACAAAGCATGATAAAACAGATTACTAGAAGCAATTATAAAGCTTTCAGTTGACTAATGGAGTTGACCTGAGAAATGCTTGCACTGTCTGTCTCCAGGAAAATAGGAAAAGTTCACATTAATTACAAGAAAGATTATCATATGTCCATCTGTCCATCCATCCATCCATCCAATCTGTCTTCTACTAAATTCGAAAAAAGGAAAGATTTATCTATAGTGACTGGTTGGTTGAGTCAGGATTGGCTCAAATAGGCAAGTCACTACGAATCATTTGGAATTTCCATTGAATATGAAACCATTTACCATCCTTGCCCTACAATTCAAAACCACTTTCTGAACTGTCAGGTTTTTATCATGCAAGCCCACTCAAGAAAACAGAAATCACAACAGGCATTATAACACAAAAAGTTGTTAGGCTATTAGCGGCCTGAAAAGGAAAAAGTAAAACACTAACACAGATTTTATTAAAAAAAAGTTTAGGAAGCAGCTAGCACATCTAAGGGAAGAAAGTGAGAATATGAAAACCTAAAACTTTGAGGAAGACTACCCATGGAGCTTGAACCCATATAGATCGCTTAACACAATGTGCTGCCCAACTGCTTATCATACCATGAAAGCTTGGTGGGACTCAGCCCTTTTAACAAAGGGGCACAGTCAGTTGGTGTTGGTATATCTAAGGGAAGGGGATGAAGCTGGATAAAACTGCTGCTACTAATGTGTAGAAATGTGTGTGGCTGGTGTGATGAAGGAAATGAGAAAAGAGGGAAGGCATCTCCCTCTAGTGGCTTGTTGGCAGAACCTAACAAAAAGCCAACTACTCAACATTAAAGAAGTGTGGTTAATAGGATCCAAGTCCCGGGATCACACAGCAGAGTAAGAACAAGAGATTGGGGACTGAGCCAGCAGCTTACTGACCAAACAAAACATATGCTAAATAAATAACTCCAAACAAAACATATGGATAATTCCTGCTCATGATTTTATTGATATCAGGAATATTGAACAGATGCTAGATGCTAGATCTTGATCCAGCTCTACCACAAACTAGCAAGTAGCATGAAGAAGCCTCATCAAGTTGCTTACTGTAAAGGTATTTCATTTTTCTTGCTTCAGGACTTTCTAAGGAGACCATTAAAAAAGTGGGATTTCTATCCAAATATACATTGTTAGCACAAGTATAAATATTAAAAGGTAGGCACTAAGCCAAAAAGCAAAATCAATACATTCTATATACAAATTATTAAAATATGTAGAGAAATACAAAACTTTGCTAATAACACTTGGTTAATCTCATGATTATCTAATTTGGACTTTGATAGCAAGCCAATAAACGGTACTTTTATTCTTAAAAATAAGGCCATACCTATAATTATTCAAACTGTCTCAAATGCATTGTATTTTAACCTAATCATAGGCGATTCTCAGTGGTTCATTTTCATCTGGTGCCTAGATTTACTCAATCATTCAACCATGATATAACCTGTATATAAATGTATGGCTCACTATATTTAGAAAACTAACTGAAAGTAGACTGTTCCTTGGAACTGGTAAAAAATAAATTTCAAACATTTATGTATTATAAGTATGTAATGTAGATATATGTGAAATATGACCTTGTCCTAAGAAAAAAGGTCAAATATGAATAAAAATTGTGATTGAAAAGAACATTACCCACATATTTGGGAAAGAAACTAGAGAAAGAATTTATATGATACATACTAATTAATGGTGGGAAATAAGAAATCTTTGGTTCTTTGGATTAAGTTTTGCTCTAATTTTGGAGTATTAAAAATATTTCACATGTGAACATAAAGTGGAAAACCCCAAAACTTATTATAAATTGAGTTGAGTAATGCAAGCATTTACACAGCAGGATTTAAAAAAATTCATAAAGTGGCAATTATTAGGAGTTTCTGACCTTTAACACTCTTCAGAATGACCTAGAAAACCTGTAAAAATAGACTGCTGAGCACCATACCCAGAGTTTCTCAGTCAGTCTCAGTAAGTACCTTAGAATTACTTCCCAGGTGATGCTAACATTGCTAGCTTGCTCACACTCTATTCTGAGTAAGAGAGAATAGAATGTCACATATTAGTACCTTCAAAATAAAGACAGTATCTTGGAGAGTTTTGCAACCTAAAAACGTTCACTGAATTCTCTTAAAGTCCTCAATATGAACTGTGAAAAGATTTCTGAATAATTACTATTACAAAACACAAGGAATTGAAGTGTACTTATTATTACCATTATGAAAGCCCCTACTAGGAGTGGTAGTTATTTTTAAGTTGGTGGGACAGATTTCTTAGGCATTCTCTGAAGGCAACCTATCTATCAGTCATGACTATTGGTTTGTATATCATACAAATGGAATGCAGAACATTCCATAATCTAAATGCAGTTAAAACAGTTCAACCATAATGACAAGAAAGAACACGTAATTCTTAGATGTCTAAATGCTTATACCACTTTTTGGTAACATCTTCAAATATAATAATATTTGGAAAATAGGGGTCACCAAAGAAAATATTAAGACACTTATTGCCACAATTAAGTATTGTCAAATGCTTGCAAGTACATTCAAATTTTTTTCACAACAACTTATAAGAACATTTACAAGTGAGTAATAAATATATTAAATTTTATTAAGTTAGTATAATTTCTATAATGGTTAGTATATAACAGTCACAACTGATGTTCTTTTTTCTTTAAGTTTTTATAATCAGTGTATGGTCGGCATGCAATACTCAGCTCTTCTTTTGTACATCCTTTAAGGCAACATTTTTCTGAGTATCCTCTGCGTTTTCTTTGGGGATGATCACCCCAAAACAAATCCCTTGAGGTTTTGATTTTGTCTGCATTTTTCTTTCGAAATTTTCCAAGCTTAGGAATATGTGGATTGATATCTTGTAGTGAGTGAAGTTTTCTTGTTTTATCAGGTAGCAAGTTGGCCTTTTTATGCTGGTACTCATGCAGTAACTGCATTTCCCCACTGTTTATTGCTTCTTCCCGAGAGGCAGATGTAAAGACTGTGAAGAGGCAAGAAAAAAATCTTCTTTATTAAAACCTTCCTTTAGCTGAAAGTGTAATCATGACACTGGAATACTAAATCAGTTAATTATTAAGAACTAAGTAATAACATTTTAAATAAAAGGTATTTAAAAGCAGTACATATTTTTAACTAAAATACCAATAGTTATAGGTTTAGATGCCAACAATTTTTTTTATTGAGGTATTCATATACCATAAATTTCAGTATTTTGAAGTGTACAATTCCAATCCCTGGCAACCACTAATTTACTTTCTACTTCTATGGCTTTGACTATTATGCATGTGAAATCATACCATATGTGGCCTTTTGTGTCAGCTTTCTTTCCCTTAGCATAAGGTCTTCAAAGTTCAGTCTTGTTATAGCATATATCAGCACTTTATTCCTTTTATCACAGATTAACTTTCCATTATATGATTATACCACATATTATTTACCTGTTTATCAGATGAGTAATTTGTCCAAATGGCTTTAGATACCATCTTAAACAGCATCAGACATGCTTAGAGAGGTAGATTTACCTACTTTTCAAGAACAGTAAATTTTAGTCAAATGCAAATATTGCAGGAAAATAGCAAAAGCTGCCAATTTCATATGTATTATGTATACTATTCCAAAACTAGATAACAATCTGAGAGTTTAAAAAAATCTTATAAACCCATTTTCTTACAAATATCTCTTTGACCGTCCTAAATAAGAAATTAATTGAATCAATGAACATATTTTACAAGTATATTAAGAAAGGTTTATCCCAGAAATGCAAGGATAGACTAATCTATCAACACACTTTATCACATTAATTAAATTCTCATCTTCCTTACAGCTAATTTTTCTTACTGCTCTCTGAGAAAATAGAAGGAAACAAAAAAGAACTTGCATTTACTCCCTTCAGCATCTTAAACCCACCCTAATCAGAATTTTGTTCCATCACTCCACCAAAACTTTTCTTATTGAGGTCATGATAACCTTTAAACACAATAGACAATTCTCATCTTATTTGACTTATCAAAAATATGCTTTCCTAATACACTTTCTTTCTTGGGTCCCATGACACCAAATTTTCTCTTCTTCCTATCTGTTAGTCACTTGTCTCCATCCTTTACAAGTACTGCCTCTTCTACCTTTCAATGTTGGTTGTCTCCCAGGGCCCAGTCCTTGTTTCTCTTTTCTATCTCTACTTTCTGGGGGATTTTCCTTCCAAACTCTAAATTCTTATATCCAACTTCCTACTCAACACCTCCATTTTGTCATCTCAAATATAACATGTTTAAAATTCAGTGTGAACATTTTAAACTCAACGTGTCAAAAACAGAACCACTGGTAATCTTCCAAACTTGTTCCACTTAGGGTCTTTTTTCTCTCAATTGGTCATAATCCTCTTTCTCCAGATAGTCCAAGCAAAAACTTTTGAATCATGTTTTTTTAATATATGGGCATCATTCCTGATTTCTCTCTTTTCTCAGCACTCATATAAAATCTGCCCAAATACATCTAGAATATAACAATTTTCACCTCAGTGCTACAACCCGTATCTAACCACTATCAGTTTTCTAATATGCGCCCTAACAGGTATCTGCTTCTATTCTAGCCAGAGTGAGTCTTTTTTACATATTAATGGTGTCACTACTCAAAAATCTGTAATGACCCCCAGTATTACTCAGAGTAAAAGCAAAAGCTCGTATAATGGTATAAAATACCCTAGATTCCTGAAACCTCTCTGACCTGATCTACTACTTACCTCTCACTGGCCTTACACCATGTTGGCCTCCTTGCTATCCCCTATAGGCACTCGAGTATGTTTGCTGTGCTCTTTTCTTTACCTAAATATTCTTTCCCCAGATATCTACCGGCTAATTCCTTTATCTCCTCCTTTCTGAAATCTCACCTTTTCAATCAAACCTACCTTGACCATACTATTTAATACTGTACTCCACCTTTCAACATCCTGAACTTACCTGATCTCTTATACTGTTTCACTTTTCCCTACTGTATAGCTCTTATTACCTTCTCATATTTACTTATTTATTGTTTATTACTTATGCAAGTTCTGTGAGGCTTATGCATAGTTCCATGAAACCAGGGATCTTTGTTTTACTCACTGATATACCCATCCCAAGGGTCCAGACCACTATCTGGCCCTTAACAGGTACCCAATAAATAAATTAAAAGAAAAATCATGATTATGTGAAAGGATGCCCTCACAAAAGCCTTACTTACAATGATTCAACCCTACTTATAATGATTAAAAAATGCCTTTTCGCAATCTTCCTTATTTTAGCATAGACTATATAGCATGAACCTAAATATTATACCTAATGGAGGCATTTACAAGAGCCCTCTTTAAGTTAGCAGCAAAACTAGACCATTATCACTATTTAACGGCCACTGAGAGTACCTGCCCAATGCTATGGGGGTGGGGAGGAACACAGGTGTAAAGATTAGAAAGAAAGTGACAAAACTATCATTTGCAAATGATAGAAAAATTTATAGATATAAATTATTGGAACAAGGTAGTTCAACGTAATAGATAAAAATCAAGCTATAAAAATCAGCTGCATGTTTCTAACCAACAATTGCAAACTAGAAAATAAAATTAGCAAGTTTTTATAACAGTAACAACAGAAGAGTATTAGGCATTCACTTAACCAACCATACAGAAAGTCTCCATGGAGAAAACTTTAAAATTCGAATGGTAGAATTCAAAGACAATCATGCTTTTGGTTGGGATGTGTAGGGTAAATGGTTTTCAGGCTTTTCTGCCCTCCTACCATTAGGATTGCCCTGCCAGATGGGCACCTGCAGTTGTTACATTGTTGCAAGCCATCTTGTTTCCTTCTGTGGGCCATAGGAGAGTATTGAGATAGTCAGGAGAGAACCAGAGGCAGCAGGAGAAGCAGGAGAGAGACAGGGAGAAAGAACTCCAGAGAAGCCCAGAGTGAAGACTTGGTCAGGCCTGGAGGCCTCCTGGGCCCCCCAGCACCTTGCCTGCTGTGTACCTGGTTGCTGCAGTACATGTAAATGCTCAATAAAAGCCTGAGAAACCCACCAAGGGCTCCAGGAAGCTCCTTTACCGGGTCTGCTGGAATCTTAGAAAACCTGCTCCGTGCCCGTCCTGCCCCTACCGATCACTTTACGTTGTAAAGATATAAATTTTCTTCAAATTAATCTCTATCCCATGCATCCCAATTACAATTACAGATGGGTTTTTTAAAAAGAAATTCAGTAACCTTATTTCAAATATACATGAAATAAAGGTTGACTGAAAAATATGCTGGTTACCAGAGGGGAAGGAGTTGAAGGGCAGAGCCTTTGGTAGAGGAGTCAATTTAAACACTGTGATGACACTAGAACTTTGTAGGTGAATGAAGCTGATACACTTACCAGGTATGAAGTTGCATTCCTGAAATTACGTAGTTTTGTGAGTGAATAAATAAATGAATAAAATTTGATTTAAGAAAAAGTAAAGTTTGAGAATTAGTTTAGTCACTCTTGAGAGAATAAAAATAGACACCGGAGACTTACTCTCCAAATAAATGACATTCTAGAGAGTAGTAGTATTAAAAATATTGCACTTTCACACAATAAGTTTAAACAGGTCAAACAAAAAGGTCAAACAAAAAGAACAATTAAATAGGAAGTCAAAGGGGGAAACAGATTGTTTAGTAGATGGTACTCAGAAAACTAAGTCATTATGTAGTGAAAAATGAGATTAAGAAAACAAACATTGTATCCCTAGCCAGAACAGAAAAATGGACCTCAGAAGAATTAATAACCTAATGTAAAAATTAACACTATCAAGTTAACAGAGGGACAGAAGTGGATCTAGATTTTTAATAAGTATTATAAATCAACAGGAAAATGACAATTCCAGTCAAAAATGGGCAAAATCTATAAACATGAAGCATTCAGACAAAGAAACCCAGAGGCTAATATGCATATGAAGAAGTGCTTAATTTCAGAGCAAGTTAACACAAACATGTTATGCCTCTCACAATGGAAAATGTTAAAATATGTATAAGGCTAATTACTGGCATGGATATGAGACCACAGGAACCTTCCTGCACTGTAGGTACAACTATAAATTGGTACTGCAAAGCAATCTGATACATCTCAAATTAAGCACACATATGTATTATGCTACAGCAACTAGGTGTGTATATATATATATCTCCCAGAGATATGGCCACACAGGTCCACAAGGAGATACATACAATGATGTTCAATGCAGTGTTATTTATAGTGGCACGGAGTAGAAGGCTATGTAAATTCAGTGTTTGTCACTAAAATGCAACAGTTCAATGCAATGGACTAAATGTTCACATAGCAACAATAGGATCTTGATATAAAAGTACTTTTTAGATGTGTTTTAATATAAAGTACAGAAAATACTGCACAATTTGCAAAATAAAATATAAATAAAAATATAAACACATTAGAATGGCTGCATATGGAAGGGAGAGAATGAGAGTGGACAAGAAGATATGTGAAGACAGGCTATCCTCTAACATGCTGTATTACTATGCTTATTGTCCACCCTCACTATTATGTAAGCTTACAAGCATAGGGGCCTCCTCAATAAAACTGTTCACTTTTTTTTTTTAAATAATAAATTTTATTTTTATATTCCCCATACAATTGCAGCCCCCCCATTCTGACCCCAATCCCTCCCCTCCCGCCCCCGCCCCCCAAAAAGTGTCTCTGGTTCATAGTTTTTTGTTGATTTTGATTTTCACTTTCTTATAGTTATTCATTTTCCTGGTCCCTTATTTAAGTTTTCTAGATTCCTGCTATGAGTGAGACCATCCGGTATTTTTCTTTTTCTTTTTGGCTTATTTCGCTGAGCATGATCCCTTCCAGCGCCATCCATGTTGCTGCAAATTGCATGTGTTTATCTTTTTTGAATGTTGAATAATATTCCATGGTATATATGTACCACATCTTCTTGATCCAGTCATCTATTTTTGGGCATTTGGGTTGTTTCCAAAGCTTAGCTATTGTAAACAGTGCTGCTATAAACATAGGGGTGCAGGTGTTCTTTGGAATTGATGTTTCTGTGTCCGTTAGGTAAATACCTAGGAGTGGAATTGCTGGATCATATGGAAGCTCTATGTTTAGTAGGCCCAGAAATCTCCACACAGCTCTCCATAGTGGTTGGACCAGTTTGCACTCCCACCAACAGTGCAGGAGAGTTCCTTTTTCTCCACACCCTCGCCAACATTTGTTGTTGCTAGTTTTTTTAATATGTGCCATTCTCACTGGTGTAAGATGGTATCTCATGGTAGTTTTGATTTGCATTTCCCTGATGACAAGTGATGTTGAACATTTTTTCATATGCCTGTGGGCCATTTGCATTTCCTCTTCAGAGAAGTTTCTTTTTAGTTCTTCTGCCCATTTTTCGACTGGATTATTTTCTTTGTTTTTGTTGAGTCTCATCAGCTCTTTGCAGATTTTTGTGATCAGGCCTTTATCATTAGTGTTGGGTGCAAAAATGTTCTCCCAGTTGGTGGGGTTTCTCTTTGTTTTTGTTATTGTCTCTTTTGCTGTGCAGAAGCTCTTTAATTTGATGTAGTCCCAGCTGTTTATCTTTGCCTTCACTATCACTGCTTTGGGTGATGTGTCTGTAAAGATGTCTTTGATGTGCAAATCACGTAGTGTTTCGCCTATATTTCCTTCTATATATTTTATGGTTTCAGGTCTTATGTCTAGTTCTTTAATCCATTTTGAGTTGATTTTTGTGTATGGTGTGAGGTAGTGGTCAAGCTTCATTCTTTTGCATGTAGCCACCCAGTTTTCCCAGCACCATTTATTGAACAAACTCTCTTTGCTCCAATGCATAGTCTTTGCTCCTTTGTCAAAGATTAGTTGACCATAAATCTGTGGGTTTATTTCTGGATTTTCTATTCGATTCCATTGGTCTGTATGTCTGTTCTTGTTCCAGTACCATGCAGTTTTGATGATTATGGCTTTGTAGTATAGTTTGAAGTCTGGGAGTGTGATGCCTCCATTCCCTTCTTTTTTTTTCAGGAGAGCTTTGGCTATTCGGGGTTTTTTGTGATTCCATATGAATTTCATCAATAATTGTTCTATTTCTTTGAAGAATGCCATTGAGATTTTGATTGGAATAGCATTGAATCTGTATATTGCTTTTGGTAGGATGGCCATTTTAATAATGTTTATTCTTCCAATCCATGAGCAGGGGATGTCTTTCCATTTCTTTGTGTCTTCTTCTATTTCTTTTAACAAAACTGTTCACTTTTATATCCCAAGCACCAAGAACACCTAGCACATAACAGGCATTCAATCTGATTAACAAATTAAAAGCAGAGTCCTGCCTGACCCAGTTGTGACACTAATATGTGAAAACATGAATAGAGGAATGAATACCAAGTATAGAGGATATGGCCAAAGTAATTAGAATAGGGGTTATGGATTATAAAAAGCTGGTGATGAAACATTAATAGTTTTACCTGGAAGATAGCTGGCTATTCAGTCATAATGCAGAAATATGTCAATTTCATGTGTCATATTCTGGGGTTAGTCATCAAAACAGGGCTTACACTTTCAGGATCCACTAACAAGAAGCACACAGTCTCAGATTCAAGTTATGCAAGGGTGGTTTGGTCTGGAAAAAAGTGGTTTTGAGTATTGCTGTATTAAATTATCATTTTTGTGTGTGTCAGACTCAAATAGATACACTATTCATCAGAATATTAAAACTGTTAGTAAGTGATTTGATCTAACAGAGAAATATGTCCTGCTGGTATAAGAAATAAAAGTTGATCATTTTTTTGACCACATTCATATATATAAAAGAATGGCCTAATTATATAGTCTATGTTGGAATTCTAGGTTGGAAACATACTATTATTTCTAAATTATCCACTGGAAAATCCACAGGAAATTCACAGAAATTAGATGCCATCTTCCCTTACTGATTGATAAATATTTTATAATAACAAATTATATTGATAATGAGTGTTTCCTTCTTCCACAAATTTCAAAACAACTATGGCTTTATCTCCACATATTTCCACTTCAGAAAACTGTCCTTTACATAATAATGTTTAATAGGCATGGCGATTTGAAATATTGTTGGATACATTTTTATTTCCTACAAATCTTGTTTCATTGTAGGTCCCTCCTCATTGGATTAATGACATTTGTTCAGGAGAGCAAGAAAAAGACCTGAAATAGAGGGGTCATTAGTCAGCTCTGAGTTTTAAAGTTGACTTTCGTATTATTGAAAAAATAGTCTCCAGAGAAGGCATTGTTGAGAAAATGAATTTCAAGTTCTTTTACAATAAACTCAGGCTTGGATCGCTGAAGGTAAAATTTTGACAATATATAAATAGGCAGAGAGAGCACAGTAGTTGATGTAAGAGAAATGCTCACCCAACATGCAGTAGTGGCAGTTGTGGACAAAAAGAGTAAGGAGAGATGGGTTAATTACCCATAAAGCATCATCAAACCACCAGCAACCTGGGAGCTTATGGAAATTCTGTCAGGCCCCATCCCTGAGTCAGAATGTGTGCATTAACAGTATTCCCCAGTGATCCATAAATGCATGAAAATTGTGAGAATCACTGAACTAAAAACAAGTGGAAGACTTGGGGAGAGACACTCCCTCCATTGTAATAGCAGGATAAAGCAAGTTATATGTAGGTAGGTTTGATGGTAGAAAATTATCAAGATTCAGCCCGGTGGCTCCACTGTGCCTGTATTTAGATATTTCGTGCCCTTAGCATTAAGTTCTAAGTTCCAGCCATGCATTCATTTAAAAAGAAGTTAAGGAGTGCCTACACTGTACTAGGCCTGGTTTTAGTTTGTTTCAGTCATCTATGTTAGAGCCTCTTTTTGGCATAGGCTACTCCTTTCCTTAATTTCAGAAACCTTGACTTTTGCGAAAGTTGTCCAAATCAAATCAACTAGAGTACTTTAAAAGGCATTTCAAAGAGGGCCTCCCTGTTGGCGCAGCAGTTAAGCACTGGGTTGCAAAGCTGCCTGCAGCCTCTGCAGTGCTGGTTCAATCCCCGGCTACTAGAGGAGGGTCCCACATGGCGTGCAGACCTCTCCTGCCGCCCACTGCTCCCCTCAGCAGTGTACTTCGGTCCTTCTGCCTGCTCTGCTCCCCGCTCTGGCTCTGGTGAATTCTCTCACCCTCCCGCGCTTCTGACTGTACCCAGTGCTTGTATAAATAAATCTAAAAAAATTTTTTTAAAAAAGGCATTTCAAAGATATAGACAACCTATAAAACAAGCACAAATCATAGGGTAACTAACGTGTTGGTCACAAAATAAAAACATATTTGGAAGATAACCATGGAGCTGAAGCATCAATCTTCTTCCCAAAGACTGCCTAAAAGCATTAAATATAAGCGCTATAGATATTAAGCACATACATTAGATAGTCCCTATCATATGGTATGATACATATACATACACTTAGATCTGGTGAATTTGGTGTAATGCTCAGTTGCTGGAAGTCTTGAAATTCTCAATAATTTTTTTTTTTAAGATTTATTTATTTTTATACAAGAACCAGGGTACAGGTCAGATGCACGGGAAGGTGAGAGGATTCACTGGAGACAAAGTGGGGAACAGAACAGGGAGACTGACGAAATACACTGCTGAGGGGAGCAGCAGGCAAGACAGGAAAGGTCTGCTTTGCCATATGAGATTCTTGCCGGGCCGCCGGGATCGAACCGGCGCTGCAGAAGCTGCGGACACCTTCACAGTGCGGCGCTCGACTGCCTGCGCCACCAGGGAGGCCCTCTCAATAATTTTACCTTGAACCTGTAAAGTGTTAAGCAGTCTTTTAAGTGAAGCCTGACATGACAATGGACCAGGTGTTTGAGCAGAGAAAGGAAAAAATGTTTTATATTTTAGTACCTTTAGTTTCCCTGTCCTGCCTTTTGAACAGGGAGGCTGCATTTTTATTTTGCACTGGGCCAGGCTGATCCTGTAGTCTGCCCTGATGATAGTCAAACAAGAACTATGTGTTAAATACTGTGTGTGGAGTGAGCGGCTCTGAAGGGTTAGTGATGACTTTCCAGGTAAACCATACCTAAGTTAGGCTTTGATGGACAAAATGGGGTTTGCCTCAAGGAAGGGGAAACTAGGGGAAAAGCAGCATTTTAAAATGTGTATACCTTTATATGCACACATTTCCACAAAGTAAAAAAGAAAAGCTTCACAGAGTTTTTCAGTATCTTCAACATAGAGGTTTATGCTATTTTTAGTTTACCTGTTTATTAGGCCTAAGTCCCATTTGCTGGGGAAGCTTACCGTTGGACAGGGCAGACTTGGACACAAGAAATGTACAGAGATTGGGGCCTCCCTGTGGCGCAACGGGTTAAGACACAACCTATGAAGCTGGCCGCAGTCTCTGCAGCGCAAGTTCCATCCCTGGCCGGCCAGGGAGCAACCCTCATAGCACAGCAGACCTCTCCTGACTTGTCTGCTGCGCCCCCCAGCAGTGTACTTCAGTCAATCTGCCTGTTCTGTTCCCCACTCTGTCTCTGGTGAATCCTCTCACCTCCCCCCCCCCACACCTCTGGCCTGTACCCCAGCTCTTGTATGCATAAATAAATAAATAAATCTTTTTAAAAAGAAAGAAATGTACACAGATTAACAAACGCGCCTTTGGTTTAGATTGTTACCTGGATTTGTGCCTCTTCCCCAGGCCTGGAAAGTGGTTTGGGAGCTTTGGAACTGGTCAGGGATGAAGGCTTCAACGTTAGAGGCGTGGGAAAGTAGCCGTCTGTGAGGGGGTTCCTCCCCAAAATGGCTCCAGTTAGTATTGCCACAGAGTTTTACTATTTCTTTCAGCAGGTGCCTGCCACACATCTTCCGGGCTTTGTCGCTGGTGCTCAGCTCAAGGGAGAACCAAAGACCCAGGAGCCCCACCCACAGAAGACTCAAGCAGAGGGGACCCCGCATCCCTGAGCTCCCCGGTCAAGGCCCACACGCGCCCCAACTAACTGCCCCCCTACAACGTCAGCCGCGCCTGCGCCCACACTCGCCCTCGAGCTGCGCCCGCCCAGGTGGTGGGCGTCCTCATGAGAACCCAAGGTGGGGCGTGTGCGGCCCGCGAACCTCGGCTTCCGGCACTCCCAGGCTTCGCGCATCACCTTAGGCTGCAGGTAGGAGGCGCTCCTTCGAATGAGTCATTTTTTTCTTGGTTGGCTTCCTTTCTGAAAGGACTCCTCAAATGAAAAGTGGGGCTCCCCATCACCGTTACAGCAACAAAAGATGTAGCTCCTGCTAGTCACATTTCCCCACTAATTGTTTTTTTGTTTGTTTGTAAAGATTTTTTTTTTTTTTATACAAGAACTGGGGTACAGGCCAGAGGCGCAGGAGGGTGAGAGGGTTCACCAGAGGCAGAGGGGGGAGCAGAACAGGCAGACTGACTGAAATACACTGCTGAGGGGAGCAGCGGGCGAGACAGGAGAGGTCTGCTGCGCCATGTGCGACTCTCCCTGGCCGGCCGGGAATCAAACCGGTGCTGCAGAGGCTGCGGACAGCTTAACAGCGTAACAGCGCTGCACTCAACCCACTGTGCCACCGGGAAAGGCCCTTCCCCACTGATTGTTGATGGGGCATGGCTTCCTCAGAGAAACCTCTTACTTTCTTCATGGTGTTTACCTTCATAGCTTGGTTGGTTCTCACTTATTTGTGTGTTTGTCCCATAACTTCTTCCCTCAAACTCCAAGGTGTCAGAAGTCAGTGCCAATGTCTGTTCTTGCTTTTCATTAGACCTAAGGTACGCACTCGAGGTTGGAAATCAAATACTCGAAACATCTATGCCTAGAGTATGCGTCTGTGAGTTTTATTTATTATTTATTTTTATTGGAGTAACATTTGTTTAAAACATTGCATATGGAGACTCCCTGGTGGCACAAGGGGTTGAGCACCACACTATGAGGCAGTCCACAGCCTCTGCAGCATGAGCTCGATCCTCAGCTGGCCAGGGAGCAACCCACATGGCGAGGCAGACCTCTCCTGTCTCGCCAGCTGCTCCCCTGGGCAGTGTATTTCAGCCGATCTGCCTGTTCTGTTCCCCACTCTGTCTCTGGTGAATCCACTCATTCCCCCGGAATCTCTGGTCTGTACCCCGGTTCTTGTATGCGTAAATAAATAAATCTTTAAAAAAAAATAAAACATTGCATATGATTTAGAGGCACTGAATCACACCCTTAGGTTTGTTGCCGCACCACACCCACCACCAAGACACCCATAGTCTTCCACCATAATCCCTTGTGCTCCCCCACCCCTGTTTTGTATTTTTCCTTCCCCCTCTGGTAACCTCAATTCTAATGTCAGATTTCCAGGGTTTATTCCTTTGTCTATATCTGACCTTTTGTTTTGTTTCTCTGTATTCCGAATGTAAGTGACTGCATCTAATATTTGTCTTTGTCCTGGGTTATTTCACTTAGCATCAGCTCCTCCAGGTCCATCCATCAATGTTATTGCAAATGGCAAGAGTTCATCTTTTTTTATGTAGCTTCATAATATTCTCTTGTGTGTGTGTGTGTGTGTGTGTACGACATATTCCTGACCCAGTCATCTGTCTTTGGGCACTTAGGTTGTTTCTATAACTTGACTATTAAAAATAGAGTTTCAGTGAACATAGGTGTGCGATATCACTTTGAATCAGTGTTTTTGCATTCTTTGGGTAGATCTAAGGAGTGGATTGGGGGGTTCATAAGATAGATCCATTTTGAATATTTTGAGAAATCTTCATATTGTTTTCCATAGGGACTGGACCAGTGTATATCACACCAACAGTGTACAAGTGTTCTTTTTTCTCCACATCCTCGCCAGTACTTGTTTCTGGTCTTTTTAATATGGGTCATTCTCACTGGGGTGAGATGAGCCCACCTGGCTCATCCCAACACCTTCACAGGTATCTCTCCCCGCCAGTTAGGAGTGTGCTTCTGCATGAAGCAGCTCTGCCCTCTCTAGGCTGTGCTACCACAAAAGCACAGGTGTGAAACACCAGTTCCTACCCCTAGCCATAACCTCTAAGTGTCTCTCTCCTTATACTTTTTGTTGTACAGAGTTGAATTTCCTCAGCATCTTTTTTTTAAAAGATTTACTTATTTATTTGTTTATAATAAATAAATAAACAAATACAAGAGCTGGGGTACAGGCCAGAGATGCAGGGGGGGGTGGTGAAAGGATTCACCAGAGACATAGTGGGGAACAGAACAGGCAGACTGACTGAAGTACATTGCGGAGGGGAACAGCGGCAAGACAGGAGAGGCCTGCCTTGCCATGTGGGTTGCTCCCTGGCCAGCCGGGGATCTAACTCGTGCTGCAGAGGCTGCGGATTGCTTCATAGTGCGGTGCTGTTAGCCCTTACACCACCAGGGAGGCCCTCCTCAGCATCTTTTCTTCTGAGGTCAGCACTGGTCTCTGATGTCCAGGAGCTGTTCTGGTTTTACCCCAATTCACAGGATGGATTTATCCTAGTGCCTGTCTGGATTACTTTAGATTATCCTTCATGGAGCGAAGTAGTGAACTCTTCTGTCAGCATCTTGTAAGTGAGTTTTAAAGCAAGATTCAAAGCTTCTCAGAACATTTCCATGGGAGAAATGGGTGTTAGTCTCAATCTCTAGGGTACCTGGGACGATGATCTGCCTCTTTTGGTTATAAATTGTAGCCAATCTGTGACAGGAATCCCTAAAAGTCTTGCACTCTCAAATAACAGCATTTTGCTAAATTAGGCGGGAAGGGGCAGGGAAGTGCAGTATAGTCTATACGATGGCTTTGTCATTAAATAAAATTTTATTTTATTTTATTTGTGTTGACTCGGAAGTATGAAGGATCAGCTGCAAGGGGACCATCAGGAGCCATTCAGGACTATTCAATTTCAGGATGCAAAGCTTCTGAGAGGTACTCTATGAGTTGTCAGTAACTAGATTAATTATTCTCACCTTTACCATTTTATTTTTGATTCTCCTTTCAACCTTCACACTGTCTTTTCCTCCACTTTCCACTGCCCCCAACATTGACCCGCTTCCCAGTGGCACCCATGAGAGTTGTGAAAAACCCCGGCTGGCCAGGGAGCAACCCACATGGCAAGGCAGACCTCTCCTGATTCGCCTGCTGCTTCCCTCAGCAGTGTACTTCCCTCAATCTGCCTGTTCTGTTCCCCGTTCTGTCTCTGGTGTCCCTCACACCTCTGGCTTGTACCCCAGCTTTGTATGCATAAATAAATAAATCTTTAAAAAATATATAGCTTATTGTTACATGAGAGTTCTCTACAAAAAGAATCCTACATGAAATATACTTGAATTTATATAACTCAAACTAAATAGATTAAGTGACATATCAGTTTGCCAGCAATGAATAGTTCAAGAACACAAAAGTCTTTTAAAATCTATTAGAACAATCCACTTTGTAATTCTTTCTATATCTACTCTAACAGTTAACATCAACAACAACAACAAAATATGGCTTGATTTATATTCCTGATGTTAGATGTTGTTGAAGTTGAGTTTTTAAATTTTATTTTATTTGCTATTAACAGTTTACTTAATATTAAATCATGAAAAGGTAGTTGTGCATTCTGGCTGGAGGAAAAGCAGTGTGTGACAGAGTGGAACTTATCAAATAGAAATCTCAAAAAGTTATTTTTTCTTACTAATGCAAGATAGCATTTAAGCTAACTATTTTAAATATTGTCTTTTGTGTTATTTGTGTGGTTAAAATGATACAATTTTATTGTCATTTTAAGTTAACAGCATTGAAAAAGCAAAAACATAATTATCATTTTCATAAAAAAGGCAGAAGTATTGTTATAGGACAGGGAGAGGGGCAGCCCAAACCCCGCAAACCTGCCTATTCTAAATGGGTTCTGCCATCCGCCGCATCAACACAAAACACATGAGACTAATGGGAAGGATCTTTAATAAAACTAGGAAACAATACAGGTAAGGCATAGAGTCTAGTTTCTAAATGAAGCACCCAAAGTTACCCGTCCCCTCGTGGGTAAAACTCCATCCATATGGGATCGGCCCAGAACAAGGCCCCAAAGCCTGCTACAAGTCTAAAGCATCTTCCAGTGGGGACCCACAGAAAAGGGTCACAAACAACCGGACAAGCCCGGAAGGAAAAGAGCAAAATCAACATCAAGATAAAAGCTGCCATTGTCACCTCCCCACAGGTCTCACCCACATCTGTGTCACCCAGTCCACGACCAAAAGACAAGCGCAGTTTCTTTACGTGTCTCTAGGCTCCATGCGCCTCCTCCAGGTCTCCTGGCTCCATCCTGCTTCCTTCCTTAGTCTCTTCTTCAGCTTCTCCTCTTCCTGCTCAACTCCACCCTCCCTTGGGTGGGGCAGGGAACCTCCCCCTTTCCTGGGGACCACCCTGTTACAGTATCTTAAGTGAGAGAATGATTATTAGCAGAAAATATAATAAAGCCAGGAAAATTTTCTTACATATTAAATAAGAAACCCAAATGCTAATATGATTTTACATATTTCCTAATATCAGTAGGATAACAGATCATCATGCATGTGTTAAGAATACATGTAGACATTAGATGAGGAATGCATAAGTAACTTCACTTTAGCAGAATCTAGCAATCTCTCGTCTCGTACAACCTTGAATACAACACTTTTTCTTTATTTGATGAGAGTTTAGTTTCTTTTTCTGGGAATGTTTATTAAAAGCTAAGTTGTTTGATACTAAGAGATTGTCATTTTTATGGTGTTTTGCTTTACTCAGTTTCTTAAGATTGATGTTCTTAAATTCTGCGGAGTTAAGTTTTGCATCCTGTAATCCAGATCTTTTTCCAATCCGTGAAGGTTGATTCCCAGGCAGTTCTGACTTCAGATTTTCTGGCAACATAAAACCGGATTCCACCCTAATATTTAAGCCTTCTGCATTATGATTGGTGGAGGATGATGTTTCTAAGTTATAAAAAGGAATGGGGAGAGAGGAAATACTCGTGTCAGGAACATCAGTAAAACGAAAATCTGTGTAGACGAAAAAGAAAAGCATTGCCTCAACTCCGAACAGGCAGCAACAACTCTGATAGCTAAACATCCAACTTCCGCTAGTGGGCAGCTGAGAGTAATCAGCACTCCTAAGTACTCTGCTTACACCCGCAGGCGCTGTCATCTTTCCTCAGTCACCTTCCTGCTTTCATCACAGCACTTAGACTTTTCCTGACTTCTCTGAAGTCATCTTGCTCATCGAAAACACTATTTTGACCATTGGTGAGGTTTTTTTTTTCAGTAATTTTCTTCCATTACTAAACACCTTCTGAGTTATGACAGAAATATGAAAAATTTATGAACTGTTTTGAACTCGGAAATCTCCCACGGTGACAAATTGCTGCATCAGGATAAAGTTTAAACATTAGCATTTCCAACTGCTCTGATCTATTAGACAGGGAAGAGCAGAGGCTGACATCCCTCAGACATCCATTTAGCAATTTTTCTACCTTCCTCAGAATACTTACTCCAAATTAATAGGCTTAGATAAAGAAATAGGTTAAAAGAACAGGAACCAAAATGTGACTGACTTGAAAAAGAGATTAGTATCAGTTGTGGTGCATGTGAACTAATGTACTTTGTGTGGTTTTAGTTCCATAGCAGTGGGCCAAGTGCTATGCAAGTTCTGGGTGCTCCCTAGGAAGGAAGCCTGTTCTAAACAGTGTGCCAGCATGGGCAAATATGCAGGTTGTGTCCTGTGTGACATTTTTCTAAGTCTTTCAGTTCAGAGGAACATCATTGACTGCTTCCATGTCTCTTTCAGTGCAATACAAGAGATATAAAGAAAAAGAAACATGCTTTTTACCTTCAAAAAACTTTCAGCCATGTAAACTCTCACTTAACTTCACCTATTAGTGAAGTTCACCTGTCATTAATTAGACAACCAGGGCAAATAACTGAAGTTTCTGTTTATGTTTTTTCATAGGTGTGGGGTTTTTTTTGTTTTTTGTTTTTTGTTTGTTTTTTGTTTTTAAAGATTTATTTATTTATTTATACAAGCATTGGGTACAGTCAGAAGCATGGGAGGGTGAGAGAATTCACCAGAGCCAGAGCGGGGAGCAGAGCAGGCAGAAGGACCGAAGTACACTGCTGAGGGGAGCAGCGGGCGGCAGGAGAGGTCTGCGCGCCATGTGGGACCCTCCTCCAGTGGCCGGGGAGCAGCCGGGGATCGAACTGGCACTGCAGAGGCCGCAGGCAGCTTCGCAACCCAGCGCTCAACCGCTGCGCCACAAGGAGTCCCCATAGATGTGTTTTTTATACCGTTTTTCCTCCTCACAATTTAAAAGTTTTTTAGCTTGAAATACTTTTCAAATTATGGAAATTTCACAAAATATGACAGAGTTCCATATATCTTATAAGAACATTCAAGGAATTTATATTCTTAACAGAGTTTTCAGAGTCCAGCACAGCATGATTATCTATAGGAATGTCCGATTTCTAACCAATTTATCTTGTATAATTGAAAGTGTTTAACAACTCCGCATTTCGTCCTCCTCCCAACCTCTGGTAATCACTGTTTTTTTCTTTCCTCATCAAATTTGAATATTCTAGATACTTATAAGTGCAAGCATGCAGCATCTGTCCTTCTGTGATAGGCTTTTTTCACTTAGCATACTGCTCCCCAGGGTCATCCATATGGTTAATATTTTGGGATTTCCCTTTTTTCCCCTGACTGAATAATACTCTTGAATGTGTGTGTGTGTGCATGCAAAATATTTTCTTTATCAGTGGATGGACATTTAGGCTGTTTCCACATCTTGACAATTGTGAAGACCAGTGGAGTAAGGGTGGGGTTGGCAGTATATTACAGAGACTAAATATCTTCAAGATATTATTCCAACTTTTGTGGATAAATACCCAGAGGTCAGCTTGCAGGATTACATATAATGCCATTTGATGGTTTTTTTGTTTTTGAGGTGCCTGCAAAGTTTTCCACATTGTCTATACCTGTTGTTTCCCTAGAAACAATATACAAGGGATTCAGTCTCTCTGTCTCTCTCCCTCTCCCTCTCTCTGCCCTCTTCTCCCACAAAGGAGAGTCTTTAAATCTATGGCTCTGCATATTTACTACTCAAGACCCTCTCAGGAGTTTCCAAGTTCTGCCCATATCCATTCGTGTATGTGCATTTTTGGTAATCACTTCACGCATCACTGATTGTCTCCTGCCTCTCAAGTCCACGTGTCCTATCCAGTTGTCCCAGCAGCCAGTATGCCCACTCTCTGACCTGTGACCTTGCAGCATGCTGAGTGCACCCTGCCTCCTGTGGGTCATTGGGCAGCTTCCCTCCTCTTGCTCCCTGGTTTTCCTTGGTCCTGTCACTTTGGCTGCTATTAGGTGAAAGGTACCAGGTACATTTCAGGTGAGGCCTAGTGCTACTCCCCCAGCATTTCTTCCTTAGGCGTGAACCCTGGTGAGACCCTCACAAGAAAGGAAATTACTGAAAAGCCCAAACTCCAGAATAGCAGCAGGACAGGCTGAGTACGATGAGTCAATGAGGCCTCGAGTCAGCCCGCGCTAGCCACTTTCACATTGGTCCACAACCCTAAAGGAATCAATGGGAAGTGCAGAACATGAGAAGTGAGTGATTACTCACCTGGTTGATATTTACCTGGGTGACGGTGAGCATGCTTTGACTCATTTCTGTGCCCCCTCAAATTGGCGGAGCTGCAGACCTCATTATGAAGACGGGTATATTCACGGCCACATACCTTAACAGATTTGGCCACCCTGCGACCTGGGACCTCACCGGGAAGCTGGATCAGGAGCAAACAGACTCCCAGCAGATGGTACAAGAACTGTGTCTGCATCTTGGACCTGGTGTCCCTTGCTCCACGCCACACGCTTCAGCCTTTTTCTGAAGGAAATCGCAGCTGATGTGACCAGGGGTCCTCAGCCCTGGATGCGAGGCTGCTTTACCTGCTTCCCTTAACCAGAGTTTATAGCCAGGCGTTCCACTTAGACCTTCCCCAAAGGTGCAAGCTCCACCCTCCCCCAGTCTCCTCCCTTGTTTTTCTCTTCAGTTCTGTTTCTCCCTTTCCTCTTCCTCTTGCCTTTTTTTCTGTTCTTGGTCCTTTTCCAGTTATATTTTTCTCTCTCTTCTTATACTCAAATAATTCTGTGTACTTACAAAAGTTATTCGATCATTGAAGTCTTTCCTTTATTATAGAGGTAAGAATAACCTTCACTAATTATAGCAATAAAAATGAAATTGAAATCACCCTTATTCTCAGGACTTAGAGTTCTGCAGCATTAATACTGCTGAATGACTGTCTAATCTAGATAGCAGTACATGTATGTTAAGTTAGTGTCTGCTGATTCAATTCCAAAAACAATAATGGGTGATAGGTTGTTGACGAGAGAGACAAGTGATGATTTTTTTTAATCTATCCCAGTATAAATTATCATTTTCTATGCATCAATTTCAGCAATGTTTGAAGTTTATAAAATTTCTAAACCGAGTTTCCTTTGAGTCCTCTGGTAGAAAGTTTGTGACTGGTTCCTGAAATCAGTTTAATTTGAGATTGTATTCTATGTGTGTAGCATTCAAACACACACAAATACAAACACATACACAGAGAAACTAACTAAAAATGAAGGAAAAAAGCAGTGGAATCCCACAACTGCAGAAAAAACTTTTGGTAACACATGTTACACAAAGATCCTACTTCTTTTACCACTGTATTCTGTTTGCCCTATTTAGTGAGAGGTAATTTTTTAATGCCTTCTATATTAGCATTTAAAACCTCAATACAGAGTGAGATTCTAAGTTCATTAAATAAACTTTTCTTGATGAATGTTAATCTTTTAAGGTCAAATAGGTTCATTTTTTCACAAATTTGTATCCTAGTATAACAGTATGTTCATAACATACTCAGGTTATCTCAATGCCATCAGGCAAATTGGAAGAAGTTAGGGTAACTTTGAATTAAAGTGAAAATTCAGCAACTGCTTAGTTACAAAACCAGCAATATGATAAAATCATTCTAATGTCCAGATTTCTGCTAATTTCAAAAGGGTCTACTCATCATTGGTCAAATGTTAGCACTGTGGAAATACTTAATGACGAAAACACCTTCCAAAACTATGGGGGTGATCTGGGGGCATGCTTTTAGATGTGTTTTTGCTAGGGCGAGCATATTAGGAGAAACTTCATAAAGTTGAAGTTTTATGGTACTTTCGTGGGTCGACTTTCATTATAAAATAATAATTCTTATGTGAGGTTGTCCAAAGTAAATTTCTTGTTGAAAACGTGAGTTTCTAAGGACAGGTTAGTTTTTTAACTTTTGCCTGTGTGGTCTTGTATAGTCCTCATTGCCACCCAGTGAAGTGGGCATTCTTCTGCTTCACAGAGAAAGAACAAGATGTGAGTAGTCAAGTAACTTGTCCACTGCAACTTTGGTAGCACATGTGCAGATGTGACTTACCTAGTACTGCTAAGGGAACAGGCAAATCTGTACCTTTAGCTTATAGGCACACTGCAAGCATTTTATATTCTTCAATAACAGCCTTTTCCGTTATCTGTTTATTTTTTCAAAGTAACCTTTTTAAAAAGCAAAACCCAGTGTGTCATGCACATGTCAGGGAAGTGCTGGAGGTGGGATTCCTACCTATATCTATTGGATTCCAAGTCCTCTTTCTTCTCTCTCACTACATCCCTTGGATTCGGCTCCAGTTGCAATTAATCTGCATGGTGAAGGCTAATAGATAAACATTAATGTGTCTAAATGTATCTTGAGGTACAGAGCAATAAGCATGGGTGAACCTGTGCATTCACTGCCTCAGTCTCTTTTCTAGACCCTTTCTCTCCACTCTCTAGCCTATAACTTCTAGAAATTTCCTTGTCTTTGCTGTAGGGAACAGTGTCCATGCAGAACATCTCTGCCTTTATGACATAAGCACACCTATGGAGGTTTCTGGCAAAATCTTTACTTTGCTGATCCAAACACTAAGCCTTCTTCTGTCTCCTTTTCCTGCCTGAAATGTGCACTGAGCACCACGGGTGCAGCAGCCACCTAGGGACCATCATGTAGATGACACAGGAGGAAGCCTCCATGTGAGTACATCTGAGTAAAAAGGTGTGAGGATTTGCATTTCCCTGATGACAAGTGATGTTGAACATTTTGCATGAGATACCATCTTACACCAGTGAGAATGGCACATATTAAAAAAACTAGCAACAACAAATGTTGGCGAGGGTGTGGAGAAAAAGGAACTCTTCTGCACTGTTGGTGGGAGTGCAAACTGGTCCAACCACTGTGGAGAGCTGTGTGGAGATTTCTGGACCTACTAAACATAGAGCTTCCATATGATCCAGCAATTCCACTCCTAGGTATTTACCCAAAGGACACAGAAACATCAATTCCAAAGAACACCTGCACCCCTATGTTTATAGCAGCACTGTTTACAATAGCTAAGCTTTGGAAACAACCCAAATGCCCAAAAATAGATGACTGGATCAAGAAGATGTGGTACATATATACCATGGAATATTATTCAGCATTCAAAAAAGATAAACACATGCAATTTGCAGCAACATGGATGGCACTGGAAGGGATCATGCTCAGCGAAATAAGCCAAAAAGAAAAAGAAAAATACCGGATGGTCTCACTCATAGCAGGAATCTAGAAAACTTAAATAAGGGACCAGGAAAACGAATATCTATAAGAAAGTGAAAATCAAAATCAACAAAAAACTACGAACCAGAGACACTTTTAAGGGGGCGGGGGTGGGAGGGGAGAGATTGGGGTCAGAATGGGGGGGCTGCAATTGTATGGGGAATATAAAAATAAAATTTATTATTAAAATAAATAAATAAAATAAAATGTGAAAAAAAAAGAGAAAGAAAGAAAAAGGAAAATATTTAAGTACTGAATAAAAATTCAGAAATTAAAAAAAAAGGTGTGAGGAGCCTGCTGGCCTTATTCAGATGCTGAATAGGTTTGATGGTTCCTCTGCAGGCTTGTTTAAAACTACTTGTGGATTTCTATTATATACAGAGAATACAATCCTAATTGATACTGCCAGGATTCAGGAGAAAATTTAAAAGTAATCAAAGCAGCATCAGATGGGTTTGCAAGAAAAATCAAATTAATATCATGTATGTGATGGGAGTGTGTGAGTGAGAGCCATTATTGGGTCCTGCTTTCAGTGAGGAATGTGGAATTTGATTCCTAGATGAAGGGATGATATAAGGATTCTAAGGCACTGAGGAGAGAGAACAGGAACTTCATATAACAAGGAATGATTTTTTCTTTAATATGGAATAGCATAAAGTACAAAACCAAAATGCAAACAGGGAAATAGGCTTCTGTTTCAGTTAGTCTTTACAGTAACCTTTAGAATACTCAGTTGAGTCCTTTAGATCATTAAGATCTTAACTTCTCTAAAAAGCCTTAAGCAAATGTCCAGCATTCCCACACTGAATTTCTTTGTTGAAGATGACTCATGAGATACCACCAGACTACCCATTCCACCCAAATGACGCCAGTGAGATATGACCTAGAGCACCCACTCCATCAGTGTGGGGTCAGCAGCGATCACTTCTTAGATTAGGGGTAGAGTGAGGCGATTAGGGGAAAGACCATCTCTGAAAATCTTGGTGTGGTCTAATTTGGGCACCTTCAGTACATGCAAGCACATGCACATATAAGCAAATATGCTAAAATTTTTATAAATCAATAAATTAAGATTACATTTGTCAATTTCTCGTGAAAGTTTTGGGCATATTTTAGTAGCTCTGAATTATTTATTGCAAAGGTGCTTGTGTGCTTGATGCTTTACACAGATTTTATTTGTACAACTTAGAACCAGTCTTATAATAGGAAGGAGTGAATGCACATTCTAATACTTAGAGCCCAGGCTCCAAGTATTTTGTAGAGCAGAAGATGGGGGACCCTGTGCCAGGGCAGCGCCTGGGGAGCTGTTTTGTGTGTCTGGGCCAGCATCTTTGTCCGTCCAAGCTGTAAGTTTTCTGGGTACTGTCCTTGATCTTCTGGGTTGGAATCACTGTTTCATAGAACTTTTTCCCTGGTAGCAGACAATCCGCAGATCCCTCATTGAATTCCCTTGCTCAGGGCTTCTACCTGTAACACTAACCAGTCTCTTCTGTATCCAGTTGGGGTAGGTCAATGGTTCTAAAAAGACTCACTTTTTAAAAAACATGAGACTGCTTTTTCATATTTCACCACTATTTTCTTTCCACCAGCTATATATTGGTGCAAATTGTTACTGTACTCTCTAATCTATCAATAGCAGACAATTCTACCCAGCACACATAATAATCAGTTCTGCATTGGAACTATTTTTGTTCATATATTTCTTCCAGCAATTGAAATTTGAGAGAAAATTGTGGTTTTTCTGTACAGTGAAATGTTTTTCAGTGCTATTAAGAAATGAGCTACTAAGGCTTAACAGCCTGGAGGAATCTTAAAGGTATCTTACTATGTGAAAGAAGACAATTCTAAAAGACTGATGTGCTTTGTGATAAGAGTTTTAGAAAAGGCAAAACTATGGAGATAGTAAAAAGATTGATGGCTGCCAGGGATTTAGGAGGAGGGGAGGATGAACATGTGCAACGTAGCGAATTTTTAGGGCAATGAAACTGATCTAAATGATACTGTAAGAATGGATACATGTCATTATACATTTTTAAAAACTCAGAATGTAAAACACCAATTGTGAGATATAATGTGATTTACGGGCTTGGTTGAAAATGGTATGTCATGGTTGTTGTAATAGATGTACAAATGTACAAATGGTTGGGAAGGCTTGCAAGACTCAGGGTAGAGTAAGTATGCGGGAACTTTAT